TCATGTACTGCGGTGAAATTTAGAGCCTAGGTCTAGTACTCGAATCTTAGTATTAGCTAACATTTGCGCTTGATTTCCCTGTTCATGTTGCTGAATCTCAGATCCCCTGTTTATTTCAAGGCAAAAGCGACTAAGACATTGATCAACATGTTCGTTTGATATCCCCGTTCGTGTTGCCCGAAATCTCTCAATGTGTTTCAGGCGGAAATCAACTGATGCGTCAGGGATAGCTACAGTAACATGATTGCACTCCTGGCATGTGTCGGGTTTCTTGGGGAACATCAAACATTTGTCCTTAAAAGAAAAAACACACATGCCCTCCGGCAATCAAACGTGGCAATGGGCATCCCTTATCAATGGAGGGGTTTTAGCTGGGACAATCACCTATAAATTGATTTTGGATTATCCAGCTGGCCACGTTTGATGACACCAGACGGTATTCAAGAAACAAAGCAATCCAATCACATCAACCAATTCACCTTCCGCTGTGTCGAGCGGCCATGAAAATCTGCTGGGCACTCATTTGGAACAAAGTTTTACGATGGTCTTCAAATAGGCCGCCCTGGGCATACTGCTTAGCAGTTGCTCAGTAGGAATTCTCAAGATTAAAACATGTCCCAAAATGGACGTTATCCATTAAGAAATCTTTGTGTGTATGTGTATGTACAAATGATCTAAATATATATATAGTATTATATAGTATCATATAGTATTATATAGTATTATATAGTATTATATAGTATTATATAGTATTATATAGTATTATATAGTATTATATAGTATCATATAGTATCATATAGTATCATATAGTATCATATAGTATCATATAGTATCATATAGTATTATATAGTATTATATAGTATTATATAGTATTATATAGTATTATATAGTATTATATAGTATTATATAGTATTATATAGTATTATATAGTATTATATAGTATTATATAGTATTATATAGTATTATATAGTATTATATAGTATTATATAGTATTATATAGTATTATATAGTATACTATAGATACCCAACAGAAAATAAATTGAAACACCAAACATTCACAATGTAAGCATATGTAAAGGTATATAATGCCAAAATCAACAGCTGAAACGCCAACACCGGTTGCTGGCCTCAACTTCAACGTATCCCAACAATACATGTGCATATCAGGGCATTCATCACAAACATAGTTTGTAAAATCATCAGACGGTTTGTGAATATACCAATCAGGCTCCGTGTAGAAAGACACAAACCATGGCCTTCACATGTGTTGCATTATTTGGCTAGTGTTATAGTATTTGTGCCATGAAAGATAAGCAACATTGAAACAATAGCAAAACGATGTTTGGGACAAATGGCATTTCAACACAATGCATTATAACTGGTTGGTGGTATACCGAACCTCTGAAAAATATGAGTTCGTCAGTTGGGATGATTCTTCCCAATATGTGGAAAAATAAAATTCATGTTCCAAACCACCAACCAGGTATTGATGTTTTAAAACAATGCATTACATATGTTTGGATTTGGAGGTTTCCTAAGTGTTTGGGCTACCCCCAGTTCTCATCCAGTCGTCATGAACGACCAGAACTTCGTACTAAAACCTATGGTGACGACTGGGGATCCCCCATGACTTAAGATACCTCTATTTGTAAAAAAAACGAGTCGTTTGGGACAAAAAGACAACATTTTTCAAAACGCTACAGGCGTCCGCAAGGACGGACTTGCCAACCTGGGCAGAATGGAAAGGTGCCGCTCTGGCACCTCGCGAAAAAATGCATATATTTCTTGAATGCCACTACCTTGACCTTCCATTTCCCCAGACTTCAAATGCTGTTCTCTTCACCTCATCATTTTAGGTAATTTTTCTGATTTTTTGAGAGTAAACTTGGAGGGTCAAATGGTAATTATCCTCTGGTTGTTTCATGTGACAAACAAGTATCCCTTGTCTGGATATCACTTTGATCAGCGGGCTCATCGTCCCAGGTTACGGCCAAACTTTGCCAAACAGATTGCGCAACATAGCTTTGGAAGATTGCCAATTTATATTAATGTGGATAAAACCGCCCATTATCCATATGGGAATGGTTTATGCCACCTATAAAAATGGTGATTTGGGGGATAGTTTATTATTGTTTTACCCACATTATGATCTATGATGATTTAAACTGGTGCTTTTCCACAGCTACATGTGTCATTACCAAAGGGCAATTTGGTTTGTAGGGCAGCAAGGATTCTTGTGTTGGATACCAAGAATTTCGGGATGGGGCAACATGATAACTAACGAACATACCCTCTGGTAAACTAACATAGCTATGGAAAATCACACTTTTTAATGGGAAAACTCACTATAAATGGCCATTTTCAATAGCTTTTTGTATGTTTACCAGAGGGTAACCATTCACCATTGGCGATTAAAAAAAACAAATATCACGAAGGACAGTTCTTCCAAAACCTGAGTCAGGTGGTTTCTCGCAGTCTGAAAAATATGAAAATTGATCATCCCGTTTCTTTGGTTGAGAAAATAGCATGCCCTCTAGCAATTAGTTCCATGGTTTGCTGGAATTTATATCCCATGTGTAGATGATGTGCCTACTCCATGTCGATCTAGGATTGTCCCGGCCCGGAATAAAATCAAAGTCAACCAACCACGAACCCGGAATAATTATTCATTAAGTCTTGATGGTTACAGCCACAGCCCCTATAGATAGTGGTGTTAAATCCCCATTAAGACACTATAATAAACTATCTATAATTATCAACCGACAGGGGCTATGAACAACCTACGGTGGATGGTTGCGAAATCCTGCACCACTTAATAGGTGGTTTATCCCATGATTCATAGGGTTTTAACCATCCGTTTGGTGGTGCAGGATTTCGCAACCATCCACAGTATGACAATCATTGAAAATTCAAAAATCACAGGTTTAGTTCAACGAGTTTCCCATTGACACCTCCTTTTTGTGTGGGGATTACCCTCTGGTAAACTAACATAGCTATGGAAAATATCAATTTATAATAGGTAAATCAACTATAAATGATCATGTTCAATAGCTATGTTAAATTACCAGAGGGTAGCAAATTTGATGACACTATGTTCAGAGCACGGCCGTCCTTGCGGTTGCGGGTCCTCCTGGTCTGCCTTTGGGCAGTCAGCTACGATCTTTCACGTGGAAACCGCGCTGATGTGGCTCGCCAGCTCAATCCGAAAATCTTAGATATTGTTAGAATTGGTTAGATATATCAGAACATCTCCAAAATTCAATACGTGTCTATACTTGGTGGGTTTGTCTAAAAAAGAGGTACACAGTACCTAAATCCATAGCTTCATCATCATTGTCCCTAGTAAAAGTAGCATTTGGGGGGTATACACCATTGTTAGACAAACCCTGGTGGCTCGCCCCATCTTTTGGATCCGTGGGTTATCCCCAAGGATCAAAACATAAATCCCCTTTGAAATCGTGAAGATTTACTTTTCAGTTTTTTTTGAGGATTTGTATATACTATATTTAGTGTATATATATATATATACACACTATATATACTCTATATATATATACACTATATACACAATACATATATATATATATATGATATATATATATATACGTATTGTTAATGGATTTTCATAGGGGTTCTAAATCACCCACTGAGCGGAGGCCAACAATGATTAAATTTAAGGATCGATTCATAAATCCGAGTATTTGTCTGTAAAACCTTTATTTTTTAGCACACCGGGGTACCATTCAAACATACATCGGGGATGAATCAATACGGGGTTGACATTCTCGCCATCTGAAAATCTGAAAAAACTATCTATATGGCAATGGACAAAAAACAGCACCTTCCAATAGCTCAATCATATACAAGGATGATTTTATGTATCACATACATAGGTGTGCAAATTCCGTTGTTTCCCACGGAAAATGATTGTGGATGTTTCATACCCATGCTCACTTTCTCAAGGGCAAATGATCTACAAAAGGGGGGACTTTCCATTATAATATGTGTTTGCCACTAGTTACAACAAATATCAATGATGACCCAGAGACAAAACAATAAACTGCACCATGTTCCCAGCCACAACAGCCCGAACGGCTCACGAACGTCCTGTCCAACAAATGGTAGTACTCTTCCAATGTTTTTGTTGTGTGTTTTGTTTCTGGGTAAAGTTCTACCATACTCACCAACCATCTATAGAATACTGTCAGGGTTATACTTATCTTCACTTCTGCACGTCATCATGGCAAATCTTAGATACCCTGCATGTTTACACAAAAGCTGGAGAAGTTTAATGCTTCTCCATGTTTTTGTGAAACAAACTACCTAGCACAGAAGAAGCAACAGTCGTTTTAAAGCCAGCATCGAACTGTTCTGGTTGGTTTCAACCCCTCTGACAAATATGAGTTCGTCAGTTGGGATGATGACATTCCCAATATATCGAAAGCAATAAAATTCATGTTCCAAACCACCAACCAGTTGTTGCTTGAAGCACCTAATAATATATGGCTGTTTAAATCGCCGCAACGACTCCTTTGGATCTGCTTAGGGAAAATCAACATGGAGGTGTCCGAATTCCTTGGTGTAACCCATAACCTCAAATCATCCAAAATTGGGCAATTTTACTAGTGAAAGCTTATATATGGTTTTAGGAATCACCCATGATTCAGAAAACCTTCACATACGCCATTTTTTCAGGATCACTTCATTGACTTGTTGCTCTCGTTTAAGAAACAACTCAACATTGTAGTACTACACTTCCATGTCCCATTCACTTGTTGACTTGTTCTACTAATGTGGGAAACCCAAAGCTATAAACAACTCCAATTTGGGGATGCTGTCAATCACACTCACAAAAGCGGTGATGACTTGGGATGGTTTATGGATGTTTACGGATGTTTATTGATGTTTAGGTGAATCCCACATTCCTAATGTCATTACTCAGATCTTCGTGAAGATGGACTCTTTGAAGTCAGCATCCCCATTCGCTGTCAGCTCAACTGTCAGCTCAAGAGTTTCGACGCCCTTTTGAAGGAAAGATTGCTGCCTGCCATCACGACATCACGCGGCGGCAACAAACCATGACCCCATGACCGGTCCCAAGGGAAGAATCCTTCAGGGGTGGAAAGATGAATTGGAACCAGGGAACATTTCATCAGAAGTCTACCTCTGAGGATTTGTTGGTAGAATTGGAAAAAGAAACAAACAAATGCAAACTATGTTTGTTGAATCAAAGAGATAAAGATATGAAACCCGGTAGTACAGTTCCATGTCAATCTTCACACAGGCAGACAATATCACCTAGATAATAGCTAGGAGCCATAATCTTTATCTTTCGAAAAAACATAAGGATTCTGTACTCAAACTCCATGAAAATTGATGGACGTCTAAGGGGTTCACAAGATCAAAAAATACCGTGCTGACCGTGCTACTTCTCCAATCCTGTTGGTTTGTATGAAAGTACATCACAGTGGTATAGGGTACCCAATTGGCCCCCGTTTGGGTCTATGAGATATCGATAGATATCGCAGGTATGATCAATTTGCTGATCGATGCGCAATGCAGTAAATATTGCCATTAATACAGGATGAGGCCCTCCAGTTATAAGTTGGTTGATAACCCCATCCAAATATAGCTATAAGTATCATACACTATGGTTATTATAGTTATAAACCAACTTAGCTAACGAACTGGGGCCCCATCCTGTATTGACATTTGGCTTGGTGAAAAGGGGAAAAATTGTTGATATATGTTGATATGGTCGCCCCAATCCACTAATTTTCATCATAATCTTCACCATTCAACATAGTAATTTTGAGTGTGCCCAACCCCCCCATGACCACCCAAAAAGTGGTGTTCACCACCCACATTTTAGTGTGTGTTTCCCACTTCATATAGCTTGTTTTTCGCCTCCAAAAAGATTAAACACTTCGATACGACACCATGAAAAAAAAAAGGTTTGGGGCAAAATTGGGTACCCCAAAAAAGGGCTGGTTACCCTCTGGTAAACTAACATAACTATGGAACATCACAATTTTTAATGGGAAAACTAACTATTTCTATGGCCATTTTCAATAGCTATGTTAGTTTACCAGAGGGTATATCCCATTAATATCCCATTGAATCACTATAAAATCCCATTAAATCACAATAAAATCCAATTAAATCCCATTAAAAATAGAGTAAAGTGTGTGGTCCCAAACACTTCGATTTGATGCATCAATCCATCCCCATTTTTGGGATTTCACTCGACCGTCTATCAATGGAAAAAAATCAGGATCCAACAGATTGGAGGTACGTAAACGTACCATATTTTGGGCCATATGAATTGTGGGGATATTCCCTGAAATTTAGGCTTGAAAAACAGGCCTTATATCATCTTATATCTGGTAGGTACCTCCAATAAATAGGTTCCTGAAATGACCATTGATATCATGGGGCTTTCTGAAACTATCACCACCAATCCCCACCATACACACCACTGAATCGGCAAGGCTCCAAACTCATAGGTGTCCTGGCGGCGAAGCAGTTTTTGAATCGCGAAGCTTCGTTCAGATTGGAATTTCTTACGAACTAGTCATGGTATAGATGGACCACTCATGGATGATTTACCCTCTGGTAAATTAACATAGACCCTGGTAGATAGGGGTTGGAAGATTAGTTTCCTCTATAAAACGGTGATTTGCAGGGTCTATGTTTATTTACCAGAGGGTACCTATATTTACCTTTGAAAAGTGGCGATGTTCCATAGCTATGTTGATATTTCTTTGGTTCTACTTGGTGGCTCACCCCAGTTAATAAGTAGGTTATAACCCCGGTCACAACTGGACTAACCCTTCCTTACCCTACTTTTCTTTCTGGGGTTATAAACCACTAAGTGGGATGATCATGATGATCCTCCAAGTAATAATGATTAAATACAGTTTTATAATGCCTGTCATAGTGATTCATATTTTTAGTGATAATTATAAAAACAGTTTTTACTTATATAGTTTTTACTGTTATCATTAATAGTGAATCACATAAATCATATAATCCAATTAATAATATGGATAAATAGTTCACTGACCATTTCCAAGGTATAATTTTTTGGCTACCCCCACTGTCCCCATCATCTACAATTTTCCCATGTTTTCCGTGGCCGTTTTTGGTCGTTGTTTAATGAGGATCTGACAGGTCATCAACAGTTATACATTCAAGCCAAAACAACACATTGTAATAATACCCACAGGCCCTGTGTGTTGCCCAGACCCACAACTATGATGTTAGATGATGTTTGATGATGATGATGATGATGATATAACCATTGACTGGTTGGTGGTATACCTACCCCTGCAACCAAATGGGTTTGTCTGAACATCTTAACATAGATAAACATAGTTAGTTCTGGTTGGTGGTATACCTACCCCTCTGAAAAATAGTAGTCAATGGGAAGGATGACATCCCATATATGAAATGGAAAATAAAAAATGTTTGAAACCATCATCCAGAATAATATAAGCATTGATGTCTGGTAATGTCGCCAACAACGATTTGCTGGAATGGGTGACCCGTGACCCCAAACCTCCTTTCCGGATATAACTTCTGCTGTGTTTGGAAATCTGTGGAAAACATCATGCAATATTCTGGGCAACTTATAATAATTCACTAATCTGAATAGTTCGGCCATAAAAGGGGATGATTCCCCATATAAAAACCCATGGATTTCCAGGGCTCGGGAGAACAGGGTTCGGTCGTGATGAAATTTACCCAGACATCACCAGCTTGGTCTCGGATTCCGAGACGAATCTGGACATGTTGGACACCAAAGCTATGTGGGATGAACCCAATGCCAGAAGCAACTACCATTTGGGGATGGTTTTATCTATATATATATGTTTATAATAATTCAAGCCCATGAATATATATATATATGTAACTTAATCACTAACTAAACTAACTAGTTTATATGTTTATCTGGTTGGTGGTTGAGCCACCCCTCTGAAAAATATCAGTCAAATGGGAGTATTATTCCCAATATATGGAAAAATAAAAAATGTTCCAAACCACCAACCAGTTATATAAGCCATTTATGGTTAATACTGGGAATGGCTTGTAATTGGGCGTACCACATTAAAACTGTGGTTCTGAATAGTGACAACACCCATCACTTCGCAGCTTCGCTTGGCGCAAGCGATTGCCAAGTACATACACATACACATGTAGATATACTATATATATATGATGTATATTATATATATTATATATATATGCAAAAATTATATATATATATGTATCATCTTATATATATATACATATCTTAAGACATATACACCACTCTTTTTTCGGCATGCACAAAACGTAGAAAACGCAAAAAAAACTCTGCGCGCTATGCTGTCCTGGATGCCATCCCATCCCAATTGCCACTGGTTGAATCCGAAGCGTGGGTTATCCTCGGTGGTTATCCACACGGTGATGGTAAGACTGTATCATTATTCTGGGTCATTAAATGTCCCCATTGAACATCACCCAACCATTAGGTATATGGTCTATAATGGCTACTATAGGGTGATGTCCAATATTCCCAAAATGGGACAGTTACCAACCCCTGCATTATTCTGGGTAAATGAAATAATATTTCACTAAACTGAATAGTTCGGCCATAAAAGGGGATGATTTCCCATATAAAAACCATGATTTCCAGTGAGGGAGAACAGGGTTCGGTCGTGATGAAATTTACCCAGATTATTGTATTTGTGCCAAGAAAGATGTTTGCAACATTGAAACAAACACGCAAAACGATCTTTGGGACAAATGGCATTTCAAGACAAAGCATTATAACTGGTTGGTGGTATACCTACCCCTCTGAAAAATGATGGAGTGAAAGTCAGTTGGGATAATGACATTCCCAACTGAATGGAAAGTCATAAAATGCCATGGTTCCAAACCACCAAGCAGTTAATATCACCAAGAAATTATGGTGATGATATTTATTTAAGAAACCTTTATAAGAAACCAATCATTGATAAGAAATCTTGATACATTTATGCAATCCCACACGTATGAAACGTGATAGTATATGATTTTCGATAGAAATGATAGAATATATTGTTTATATATATATCAATAGAATATATGATTAGATAGAAATCTATAATCCATTTTTATGTCTATCTATATATATATATTGTCATTGTAACCATTTCGAAATGAATACCACGGAGTCCCCGATGCCTGGCGCCAGTTCGTGACGCTGCTCCAGTGGTCCACGTGACGTGTTTCATAAACGGCTGACCCAAAATAACTATGGTTCACAACCTGATATGGAGGATAAATATGGTGGTTAATATGGTGGTTAAATGGAGGTTAATATGGAGGATAAATATGGAGGATAAATATGGTGGTGCCCCCAAGATAGCGTTCAGTTGGTTTATAACTCCAATAACTATGGTTTTTGTTGGTGATATATCTGGGTGAACTACAATAATTCACTAACCTGAATACTTCGGCCATGAATGGGGATGATTTCCCATATAAAAACCATGATTCCAGGGCTCGGGAGAACAGGGTTCGGTCGTGATTTTCTTGGATTTTTAGGTTTCATGGTGGATAAAAACCAGCGAATCCAAGAACATTCCCGGAGTATTTCTACAATATCTAACCCATAGGATCCATGTATGGTATATATGCTAACATTTGGGGTATATTGATGGTAAATGTTACCATATATAGCATACATGGATCCTATGGGTAATGATATATCCCCATATCCCCGTGAACGAATTGTATCCCCAGTATCCCCATTTTACCATCATTAAAAAATATAAAAAACCAGCGTTTTCCAAGATGAACCTTGCAAAAAGTTGCAACGCAGCCCGCTCCATTCGGGCAAGGAGCCATTCTGGCTGAGATGAAGAAATCCTGAACCGAACACACGATGGGTGGCACTGTTGGGTTTATGAGGCTGAATTAACGATACTCACTGGATTGGTTTAAAGGGAAATCTTAACCGGAAACCATAATTTTTACCATCAAATTTAGGGGTTTCCTGAAAAATTTTCCATCATCCAATTCTATGAGATACGATTCAGTGGGTGAACATGAACGAACAAACAAAATGTCTGGGGGCATCACCAACATCGGAGTCAACTTGGTGGTTTGTTGAGAAGTCTGGAGCCAGCAACACGTTCCAACCGATAGGGCCAGGGAATACTTGCTGGCTCATCCCGCGAATCCCAAGTAGGTTATATCCCTGGTTATAAGATATTATAAGTGGGATAAGTAGGATTAATCCATGTAAGACTAGGGTTATAATATGTTATAACCTACTTAGCCTCTGGTAAACTAACAGTTTGCCATTGAAAACGGTCATTTATAGTTTATTTACCCATTAAAAAGGGTGATTTTCCATAGTTATGTTAGTTTATCAGAGGGTAGTAAGTGGGATGAGCCACCTAATCCACCTAATCCTTGAATCAGAAAACACATAGCACACCTGACATTGAACCTGTGCGTCCTGCAATCACGAATGCTTCAAACGAAACAATGCTTCTCGGCCACGTGTGATTACAGAATGCAATATTGCACCTACAGTTCGTGCAAACTGCAATTTTAGTCGAAAAAAAAACAAAGTGATTTCAACATAATTAAACCCCCAACTATAGATAGAAAGGGTTCAATTTACGACCAGTGGGATTTTGCCAATTTCTATCTGTTTCGGGATTGCAATTCATACCATCCCCGACTAAACCTGTTCGAATCACTTAAGCTGGTCATCACCATGGCGTCATTCCGCAGCATCCTGTCTATCGTTCCACTGGGATGAATTATCAACCAGTTGGGTGAGTTGATTAGAGATTGTGTTTTAACTATGGTGCAAATAACTCCAATGTCACTATGGTTTTTGTTGGTGATATATCTATAGTTAATGGGAGATCTTCAGGATCCAACAGATTGGAGGTACGTAAACGTACCATATGTTTGGGCTATATGAATTGTGGGTATATCCCCTGAAGTTAAGGCCTGAAAAATGGGCCTTATATATGGTAGGTACCTCCAATTTAGGTTCCTGAAATGGCCATTGAAATTACCTACGTGTGTATCTGACAATGGTGTCAGTACATCCCCCAAAATCATGTTGATTGATCATCAAATGTGGGGTGTTTAACCATCAAATTAACCATCAAATTGTGATCAACCATTCTGATAAGGCTATGGATATGGATACCCATGGGTACCTACATTTTAGATGCTACAACCCGAACTGTTGATCATATTTAATACATGTTATTCATGTTGATACTTTTAGGAGGTCCCCTCATATTGTTTGGGACTAACGAGATGATACCAGTCGGAAACCCACAAAGAAACCCCAACGTCTAGCATGTTTCATGATTGTTGCTAATTAAACATCGTCAACTCATTGTTTTGTTTACATCATTGTTCGATACATCATGATACATCTTCCATAAGTTCTTGCTCGTTATTGGGGTTATGTTCATCAACTTAGCTATATCATAAATCACCAAATTTGTGCTCACATAATTATGAACCCAAATCATTCCCAGTTTTGGCAATTCAATCCTAATAAATTACCATGAAATCAGCTTTTGTCGATCCAGAAATGTTCCCTTCTCGTAGGACGCTCAGGTTCCGCGTTGGTAATGGCATCAAAGACCGGCAGCCCCGTCTCGTCGCGCAGAGCATCAGCGTAGGGTGGGAGCTCTGTACCTGGGGAATGGTAAAGGTTTTCCCAATTTATGAATACCTACAGTTATGGCCCGAAATATGGAACGTGTAATTGTAATCTCATAAAATATTTCATAAGTACAATCCAAGTATATAATCCAATTAATGGAATAATACCATGTTTTTATGATAATACCTCCCGTTTTAAAGTACAACAATAAGTCCATTTCAATTCGACTCATCAAGTCTCATCCCAGTTGGCCTTGGGAATGCGTCGAAAGGTTCCTGAAATGGCCATTGATATACACCTTGGTACACTTGCTAGGCCCTGAAAAAAATACCAGTTATAAGTACTTGCTGATTTCAACCCATTTATGGACTGTATAATCAGTATTTATAAGTTATAATCCCATAGAAATCCCATAGAAATCCCATAGAAATAATGATTACTTAGTTAATCCCATAGAAATGAACAGTTATTTAACTCCTAGAAATGACCATATGTGTAGTGGATCCTAATGGTTCATCCGCCCGTGGATGCGCAGAGGTGGATTGTAACATACTATAAGTATGTTATTAAACAATATTAATTAATACTTATAGTATGTATAATTGTTATTTTTAATTTTAGTATTAATTAATATTAATTACTAACTATCATAGTTATTAATGATTATAACTATTAACTAATCACTATGATAGTTAGTACATTATATGACTGTGATTAATAATTAATTACTTGCAGGAACATACCAGTTAGTAGGTGGATTTATAACATATTGTAACCCCAGTTATAAGTAGGTTAAGTAGGGTTAGTCCAGTTATGACGAGGGCTATAACTCACAGGGATAAGCCATTGAGTAAGGGGGTTCCAATTTTACAGTACTTCATCACTATTTTGGTGGTCACCCTCGAAATCATAGTCAGGGTTTATTAATTAAAATTACTTGGAGTGCGGTTGAAGGATTCTTGATTTCTCTGATCGTTCTTCCAAGATGATGACCCCGTGAAAAATAGCTAAGTTCAAGGTAAATCAACTGATTGCTGGGGGGAAAAACCACATTGGTTAAGACCCTCCAAGTAGACCCCAACTTAAAATGGTTAAAAGTACTAAGATTATGGGGAAAAACATAGTAGAACACCACTTTTAAGGGTACTCGTGTTCTTGCTTTGGCCACCCCCAAAGCCTTTGGTGCCACGTGCCACGTGTCACAACTGATGCCATGGTGCATTCCAGCAAGATCCCGCGCACAGAGGGGTGTTTCTTCCTGGCTGAACGTTTGGACCGACACTTAGACGAAGATTTTCAAAGCTGCATTTTGCTCAACACATATTTCACATGTCTATATCTGGTTGGTGGTTGAGCCACCCCTCTGAAAAATATTAGTCAAATGGGATGTTTGTTCCCAATGTATGGAAAATAGAACATGTTCCAAACCACCAATCAGATATATATATATATACACATTTAAAGTAGGACAAACATGGATACTGTACATCATATAATATACACACGTAGACACACATACCCTCACTCCATCACTTATCATAACAGAAATGTGGTTAAGCAAAACTCATAGAGGCTGCGCTCGCTCGCCATTCTGAGCAGGGAGTAGCGTCCCTTACGATTGGTGGTGCTTTCTGACTCATCTTGGTTGTGTAGTTGGTTCATGAACCACAGTTACCATATATTTAGTACTTGGTGGTTCATCCCACTTAGTAAGTGGGTTATAACCCCAGTTATAAGTGGATTAACCCTACTTATCCCATTTATAACTGGGGTTATAACCCACCTACTAAGTGGGATGATCCACCAAGTAACCATATAGTAACCATAGCAACTAGGTCGATACATCTTTGAACATAAAAACTATTATAAAATCAGATAAAATCTAGAGACCCTCACCTGCCAGATGGGGAAGGAGGAAAAAAGGCAGGGCGAAGGACATGAGCAAATGAACTCTATCCGCTGATCAGACTTGATAATCTCGATACAAGGAAACTGTCCAGTGTTCAGACTTCATGTTCAGGAAAATGGGAATCACGTCAGGGATTGAAGATTTCACAAGGGTCTTGTCAAGAACTGTTCAATCCATAGGTTTCTTGTCATATCGATCTTCAGTTCTAGGCGTTCAGGTTTGGGAGTGCCACGTCTTCAGACTTAAGAATATTGCATCTTCAGTCTTGAGAACACTGTTTGCTTCTGACAAAAAACATCGTATATATATCTATACATGTATACCAATCAAATATTCCCTGGAGAATTTTGAAAAGGCATGTACCTTTTTTTGGGGCACCATACATCATGTAACTATGTTTGTAGATATATAGCTCGATTATAGTTGCTTACCAAATTCAGTATATTCGCGTTATCTCATGTTACATTCCCGTCATACTACCACTAAATTGCTGCTTGCATACACCATGGCACCATGCTTGTTGGCTAAAGCCAATCCCATCTGGATAGATTAGAATATTTCACTACCCTGAATTAAGATGAATAGTTCGGCCATTTACAGTAAGATGATTTCCCACAAATTAAATCTTGTGAAAACCATGATATCATCGATCCAGATCCCATGGTGGAAAGGCTTTATCTGGCCTATCCCATTCTATTGGCACCATCGGCATGGCTATCCCAATATATCCAAGGGCGATAAATAAATATACTGGTTGGTGGTTGAGCCCTACCCTACCCCTCTGAAAAATATGAGTTCGTCAGTTGGGATTATGAACTTCCCTATATATGGAAAGTCTTACAATTATATAATATACATGTGTATATATATATATATGTGGATCAATTTTATATTCTGGTTGGTGGTTTTAACCATCTTGAAAAATATGAAAGTCAATGGGAAGGATTCTCCCATATATTATGGAAAATAAAATATGTTTGAAACCACCGACCAGTATTTCAAGTGGAGCTTTATTTGGCCTTCCATATACATATATATATATGTATATATGTGGGCAAATTATAATAATTCACTAACCTGAAATAAGACCAAATTGGAATATATAATTCCCCTTACTAACCATTATTCCAGGCTTCGGTCGCAGTGAGGAAATTATAATTTACCCCGATATGCATATATATATATATGTATATATATATATATAGCTTCCATTGGCTGTTCCAAGTTTCAAATGCTGTTTCACCAAGTACACGATCCCTGGAGTGACATACTCCACATCCACCTGACAGGCGCTGTCGAAAAGGCCATCGAAAAGGCCAGTGTTTTCTTTTTCTGGGGAGGTATGTAGCTCCAATATATATATATATATGTATACTGTATACTCTGTATATATATATATATATGCATGTGTATATATATATATATATGTATATAAATAAATAAATGTATGTATATGTATGTATATATATATATATATGTTCTTCCTTCAATGGCCAGACATGGCCAAACAGTTGGGATGTTTTGATGCTATGATCGATATGGTTAGAACAAGGTGAGGGTCCTGTATACGATAGCTAAATTGACGCAAGTAACTTGGTGAACTGACAATTGGAAACTACGGCGGAACCATCATAAGATCCTGGAAACACTTTTACATCTTAATTTTTGTGGACCCTTATATAATAGGATGTGATAGAAACACCCCAAGAAGACAAACAAGTGCTTTACCATTATCTGTGTAGGGTTTGAGGTTACAATATAAAACAAATTGGTTCACAATTCACATGTATACTTAAATTCTATATATATATACCATAAGTTACCCTCCAGCAAATACAGTTCGACCCTGCCAGATAGGGCTTGGAAGATGAGTTTCCATTAAACATGGCATATTTTCAGGGTCCAACTGTTTTTTTGACCCCATCTAAACATGTTATTTTCATGTATCATACACCAACTTCTTATCAAAAAGTTACAAACTGCCTGCCCAACTGAACGCTAACGATAAACGTGATAAACAGGGCCCCATCCTGTATTCATACGATCATAAGAAGAAATCTTAGGACCAACAGGACACCCAACCAGGCGACAAATGGTCACATGTCAACATTTTGCGGCCAAACTTGGGGGGTAGGAAAAATTCATATCAAATTATCCCGTATTATCCCATCCCCCTAATATTTCATGAAATACTTACCCTCTGGTAAACTAACATAGCTATTGAAAATGGCCATTTATAGTGGATTTACCCATGAAAAATGGTGGATCTTTCCATAGCTATGTTAGTTGAAAATGGGTGTGTCTGAAAATGTCGTGTACCCCTAAACCCAATGGTTAATGATCATTATCCCTATTAAATGGCTATTTGTTTGGGAATATACCCTATTTTCAGACAAACCCATATCATTCAACAGTCCCAAATTTATTCATATTTATTCTATGGTTCCAATGGTTCAGAAATTCCCCACATCCACCGGTGGTTTCGATGAAGAAATGGGGTGTTTGCTAACGGATGATGATGGGATCAACGGAACATCAACGAGAAATCAACATGTGTAATAGGTAAATCAACTATAAAGTCGCCATATTCAAATATTCAATAGCTTAAATTACCAGAGGCTTTCACAAAACTCTCACTTCAGCCTAACAAAGTCGCTTCCGGATTGGGCACAACTAGATACCCAGTGATTAAAGGTCGATTGTCCCATGGGGCCATGGCAGCGCTTGCGGAGTTCATCGAGGTGAAAGTCCCATCTCACTTCACTGTTGCTTTCACTCCATCTATAGGATCCATGGTGCTGGTATATATCTCATAGAAAACCCATAGAAATCCCATAGAAATCCATAGAAAATGGTATATATACTAACATAAAGGGGGTATATTGATGGGATCCATGTTACCATATATATATATAGCAGCACCATGGATCCGTCATGGGTCATGCAATCATGCATCCCATAAGATGGCTGTAGACATTACAGATATCATTTCAAAGAAGAATTAAGTATGAACAGACTTATAACGAATATGAAACACATCAAGAATATACACAAAAACCAAAAACGAAAAAAATAGCGAAACACAAAAAAAAAACATAGCCCTCCATATGAAACACATCAAAAACATATGTGGTCAACAGACTTTCATGATTTTCACATCAACTCAACAAGAACTCCATGATGCCAACCGCCTTCCTCCCTTCAGCAACGGCATTGAAGCCAGGCACATTCCTCGATTTTCGGAAACAAATGGCATGCTTGGATCCCCCCTTATCATGTGGTGGATTGGTTTAATTGAAACATTGCCACAAACTGCTATATGGTCATGGAAAAATCCATGGTTTCCGGTTTCGATTTCCAACCAATCCATTGAATCATTGTATAGGAACCCCCCAAACAGATATAGTTTCTATAGTAACATCCGACCCTAAAATAGTACCATCTGATTATTTCACAGTTTGCCATGGAAAGATCCACCATTTTATAGCTAGGTAAACCATCTATTTAAATTTCTATGGGCCATTTCAACCATGGCTATGTTAGTCATACCCAGAGGGATACCAACATAGGGTTACCATTTCTTGTGGCTGTTGGATGACATCTTTTCCACGAAGCAAATTGGAGATTGGACATCTTTTTTACTCAATCAAATCAACCCAGAGGGATAGCAAGCTCCAAATAGTTGCTCCAATGTCACTCATGTGGGTAAAACAATGCCATAAATAAACCGCATGTTTACCTTCCCCAGTCATCATCCCCAAAATCACAAATTTATTTATAGGTGGTATAAACTTACCATTCACAAATTGGGATAATTGGGTAGTTTATGACCTTGTTTTACCCACATTACCCTCTGGTAATTTAACATAGCTATTGAACATGACAATTTATAGTGGAATTTCCCATGAAAAATGGTGATTTTCCATAGTTATGTTAGTTTACCAGAGGGTAACCTGTTTCTGATTTTGAAGATGGCGATACATACTAATACAATTCTCAAGGTCCGATACTTGGGACCATGATCATCATTGATTATCCCATGTCAGGGGAATGCATCCGGGATGTCTATCTCAGCAATATGTACCCTCTGGTAAACATACAAAAAACTATGGAAAATCACCATTTTTCATGGGAAGATTCACTATAAATGGTGGTTTTCAATAGCTATGTTAAATTACCAGAGGGTAACCATCTTCATCCAAAGAGTTCTATGTGAAATCCCCCCAAAAAAAGCTAAAAAATCGGACCCCCATTTTTTTCTCGATCATAATAGATCCAATACTTACAGTAACCATGGTCCATGGTTTCGTTTAGGGGGTCATTGATTTGGTTAAAATAAAATCCCAAAATACTAAACCAAAAACCGATTTCATTACCAGTACTGGGGTATCTATGGGATTACCTTCTGGTAAACTAACAGTTTGCTATGGAAAAATCACCATCATTAATAGGTAAATCAACTATTTCACTATTTCTATGTGCCATTTTCAATTGCGAACTGTTAAATTACCAGAGGGTATATCCCATTAATATCCCATTGAATCACTATAAAATCCCTTTAAATCACTATAAAAATCATTGAATTTTACTGGTCATTAAATACATGCGACTCTCAAAACAACCAACCTCAGTCCACGGAGGAGCGCCGAAGCTCCTCCGTCTGCAGGCCGAGGTCTTTTTTCACCACAAAGCCCAACAAAAAATATGGATCTATTGTTTTTGTAGGACTAATGATTTTGATCTACTCTGATATGTTGTGGTTGGGTCTACTATACTAAGACCTACGCAATACTCCTTGTTTACTAGGATGATGTGTGCCAGGGTCAAACCATGTAACCATGCAATCAAACCATGAAATATATATAATTATATATATACTGGTTGGTGGTTTTAACCACCTTGAATTTGCTTTTTATCAATGGAAAGGACTTTCCCATATATTATGGAAAATAAAACATGTTCCAAACCACCAACCAGTATATATATAATATATATAATATATATATGTAATATATAATAGTATATATTGGTATATGGCTATATGGTCATCCATCTATGACTTTCACCCGAATCCCTTACCTCGATCGACTCCGGAGACCTCCGGCCAGCAAAAATCCCAGCAACTGACACCCGACGATCATGAAGCGCTGATCATCGACCTGTTTTTTTTTTCGCAAAAAAACAACGTGCTACGGTGAAATGACGGTGAACGGACGTGAACATTTTGGTTTTTTGCGTTTTCTTGAAAAAAAAATTCACGAAAGAGATGGGCCGTGGTCATGGGGTTTTATCTATGGGGGTTTCCATCTACCCAGAGTTGATAGTCCTTTTCACTTGTGCAGTGAACGTCAGCACGTCAGCACGGGCTCCTCACCTCGTAAGTCCCTAGTTTTTAATGGGGATTCCCCTTTTTACCCACCATCCAAGTGTAGTACCCTCTGGTAAACAAACAGTTTGCTATTGAAAATAACAATTTTATAGTTGATTTACCCACTGATTTTTCCATAGTCATGTTAGTTTACCAGAGGGTAGATCCCATTGAATCACTATCAAATCCCAGTAAATCATTATAAATCCCAGTAAATCACTATAAAATCCCATTAAGATCCCATTAAATCACTATACAATCCCAGTAAATCATAGGTGTGCCTAATCATTTTGGTGATTTTTGCTGGCAAATGTACGCCAAAGATTCGAGATCCACAAGTTGCAGATATCCTCCTGGATTACCCAGATTAGTGGCAGCTGTGCCTACCCAACTCAACAGACAGTTCAACCAAACATGTTATATAATATATATATATAGTAATATACATGTAATATATATATAATATAATATAGATATATATATGTATATAATTATATGATAATATACATGATAATATATTTACCCATTCTTTGCTGTTTTTCCTCTATCTTTGCTGATTTTCGCCGAATTCTTGTACCAAAGGGTCAACCGGTCAACCTACCAGGGCACAAAAACACCGAGACAGTCGGGAGAGTTGGGGGCCCTCTAACTATAGTTCTACATAACCCATATGCGAACCATGGTGCTGGAATATTTACCAACATGTGCCCGAACAAAATCACCCAGTTTTGTAGGTAAATATACCAGCACCATGGAGCATCTGGGTACTGTTATATATCTCCACTTTCAACTGGAACTGCACCCCCAGATAGAACACCCACCCTTTCAGAAGTTCCGAAAACAATCCCCGGTTCTTGATGGTTGAACTACCGGTAATTTGTTACACGTCGCTATTGAAAATGGCCTATTTATCATTATTAATTCATGATTTATCAATTTAATAGTGGATTTACTCATTGGAAATGCTGGATCTTTCCATCGTTTTTTGGGACTGTTTACCGGGTTGACCAGGCCGGGTATGCTAAAACACCGGTAGGTGTGGTGTTTCACCGGGTCCACCAGGTCCACCAGGTCACATTGAATCCGCACTGCCGTAGCAGCGTCTCTTTCTGCGGCTTCAAGGATTCGTCGTTGGCCGTCAAAATCAAGACCTGATTTTGATCACCAGAAACCATATGGGAAACCGTTGGGATGTGTTTTCCGCAAATGTCCTGTGAATATTATTCGATGTATTTACATGTATTTACATGTATCAATGCTATTTAACAAGAAAAGAAACTACAAGAGATAATTTATATTGATTAATAAATGAATATAAAAAGCGTTTCTTGTAGTTATAAACAAACGTTGACTTATGTGTTTACAACTAGATTTTCCATAATTTATAACTACATATCTTGACTTCATGTGTCTACAGTTTTTGGGTGAAACACTTGGAACTCTCATGGTATCCCAAGGGCCCGCACTCCAAAAGATCAGCGCAATCAAACATGGTCTACGCACATATCCATAGATTCTCGAAAGCTAGGCAAGAAAAGCATAATAGATTATTGGTCTATAAAAACATGTCTGTGAGAAATCAAAAGCTGTCCATGTCCTGATCTGGTTTTCATTGCAAAACATTGACCATTGTTCATGGCTTTGACTGGCTGTTACCCTTTACAAAAAGGTATCAAACATACAACATATTTTAGAAATTGACCTCCATTCCATTGGGTCTGTCTGAAAATAGTGTGCACATTCCATCCACTGGTTACCAAAATTGATGCCCCTATCAAAATAGCAATAACTTGAGGGCTTAATCATCCGCAATTAACATCCGCAATTAATGCAACAATTCATCAAGATTTACAGTACCCCGTTTTTCACGGGCATATTTTTTTCTGATCGCAAATCGTCCACCGATCTGCACCTTGTCATATTTGTCGAAGGCAACGGAAATCATAGGACTCTGCATCATTGAACCTAACAAGATAAGGGAAAAAAATAAAAATAAGTGGGGTTCTGCCAAGATATGAGTATTACACCAACCAGAATAGGATGAATTGTATCAGCATATAACAGCAAATATGCATATATATATATATAATATATATATATATATGTATTTATATTCACGTATATATATATAATATATATATAATTTAATTGATTAACATGGTATGGTACAAAAAGGGGATACAAAAAACAATTGCCATTTAAACAGGCACAAGTATGCTCCTTTGCAGTTGGGGGTACCTTTTCAAAGAAACGCCAATGCCGAAACCAATCCACATGATTCATGTTTTCTGGTTGGTGGTTGAGCCTACCCCTCTGAAAAATATGAGTCAGTTGGGATGATGACATTCCCAACTGAATGGAAAAATAATCCAAATGTTCCAAACCACCAACCAGAGTAACTCTTGCAATTGGGTGTGTGTATATATATATATATGTTCTAAACAAACAAGGGGCTTTTACATGTGTATGGCTGCGTAAGTGTGTTCAAATGTCTATTTCTAAGCAGGGAACACAGGCCCATTGTGGATACCAACGTGCCAACGAAGCTGGTCATGGGAGAAGCGGAGATTGATCACCTTCATTTTTTTTCTGCCAGTAGGGAAATTGGGCTAAGCCAAAAAGAAACAGCATGCCGCATTTCTTGATTCATTTAGTGACCTGTGCCCTGAAAAAACCTTTCGCGGCATGTCAAGCTCGTCCCCTATCGGGGTCGTCCCATATGGTAATGAAGGGAATTTGCGGACCCCTCGGCAAGGCCAAGGCGAAGCAAAACTCAATTAGTCTGAGAATAATTTGATCGGTTTCTAAGGTTACTATGAGAACCACCGCTAAGCGCTGAAGCCCCACGGAAAAAGAACATGAGATTCACAGTTAAGTGATGCCTTGGACCAAGTTGTCAGATGTAGGAACGACCAATATACGAATGGGATGATTCCTAGAATCTTATCAAACCAAAATAAAATATGGCATCATCAGAACTTCAGGTTGTGGCGTTTCTCCCTAACTCATGTGCCAGGTTTCCTGGCTTTCATACTGGCTGGTTCAGTGGCCGGATTTTCCATGGGTAGAATAGCCCCTGAACTACCCTCTGGTAAACGTTTACATAGCTATGGAAAGATCCACCATGTTCAATGGGTAAATCCACTATTTCGACTGGGCCATTTTCAATAGCTATGTAACAAATTACCAGAGGGTATATCCCATTAATATCCCGTTGAATCACTATAAAATCCCATTAAATCACTATAAACTACTATAAATCCCATGAAATCACTATAAAAATCAACAGTTGAGTTTTGAACACTGCTCAATCACGTAGATATCTTGCCAAAAATCCACCATCAATCCACTAGTATTTTAGTAGTTCTGAGATGTTCTGAGTTCTTTTTGCCCCCGCTTAGCCGCGAGGCGCCATCATGGGGGCCCCATTTTTGTTCGGTCTCCGTGAATGTTAGGTCCTAATAAATCCCGATTGAAAGGGGCATGACCAGCCTGTTTGTTTAACTTTCAATCTAAATCACGTCAAAAATTGCTATGATCCAATTTCTGGTCAGATCCATGTCATTCTGGGCACATGGGGGACTCGACAGTGATTCTCTGCTAGTTTGATCTATTTTGATGGCAGCAATGTACTTCAAATCTTCCCTTTTCGGGGATGCAAAAGGAAATGTCAAAATCTTTCAATCTCTTTCTGGTTGGTGGTTTCAACCCCTCTGAAAAATATTAGTCAGCTGGGGTTACTATTCCCAATATGTGGAAAAATAAAAGTCATGTTCCAAACCACCAACCACTCTTTGGTTCCGTGGTGCTTGACGATGGAGAAAAACGAATCCCCAGAGTCCCAGAGATTGACGGGAAACTCATGAAGACCGGAACCGACGCAATGCTACCTGCCGGAAAGGGGATGAGGGCGACTGGACAACCTGGGACTGGAAAAGTTATGGTTGGTGGTGCAATAACCATCTTGAAAAATATGAAAGTCAGTTGGGAAGGGTTATCCCATATATTATGGACAATAAAATTCATGTTTGAAACCACCAACCAGTTATGACCCAACTAACAATTATGAATGGGATGAAATAACTCCTGTAGCCGTAGCGGCTACATGAAATAAGCCAGTTATAACTGGCCGCCAAAAAAGGGGCCAGCGGCCCCCCTTGGGGATGGGTCAAAATCCTGGTAGCCTGTCCAAGATTCAAACCCAATGGGATAGTCTTGTGGAAAATCCAATGCGGGAGCGTTTCATTTCACCCTTTCACCCACACCTAAATGGCTACAATGGCTACAAAGCACACATTGTTCTTGAGCATCTTGAGCAAATGCCAAGTCATATCTAAGTGATGAAGAACCCAGCTAGTTGAAGCAAGTTGAGCCATTAAAAATACCACTATCTTGCTTCAACTGGTTGATAGGTAGGGTTAATCCACTTATAACTGGGGTTATAACCCACTTACTAAGTGGGATGAGCCACCAAGTAACTAACTATATGGTAGCTCTATGAGTCGGGACATGTTAGGTGGAGGGCAAACCTTCCAACAGAATATTCACCACAACAAATGGTACCCGTGAAACAACCGGCCATTGACCCCACTTAGCCAACCATGTAGAGGGATTTCACCATTTAACACATTGGGGTATACTTATATTTACCCAAGCAAAATTGTTTGGTCTGGTCGTGCCCGAGTTCGGAATGGCTAAGTTGGTTGGACATACAGTAACTCTGATGTTTTTTTTTGTAGGATAACTATAGTCGGATCGGGTCATAAAGCAAATTACAGTATAGCATAGTATAGCTACTTGGAAGTCCGGTTCCAGATATAAACCATGCGAAGATTTTCCAGCAAGCCACAGCAGTATTGGGCTGTAGGCCTGTTTTCCCTGCGGCTCCTCACATTTTTCTATGGTCACTTTGTTGCACCAAGCACAGACCATCATACCGCAGGGTGTTGCACGCCCGTTGCCACAGGTGAAGCCAGCAATGCAGTCACCAAGTACAGCACTGCCGTCCCGAGATTGAGCAATGCTAAGCACACCCAGCTGAACAACGTGCCAAAGTTCTCCTGCGGTGCTTGGCATTGGAGCCGGCGCATGTAAGGGCATTCAGGGTCAGCCAAGCAGGCCGCACAGCTCTCATGAGGTGTGGTGCTCGGCTCCAAAGCAGACGTAGTGGAGCTGGTGTGATGGTCAAACGGAGAAGGCCAGACAAAGTCGCCGCCATAATGTTGCATTGATATACCAGAATCAGGAATCCTCATTAAATACAATTTAAACATTAAGATCCATTATATTCATTGATATTCCAAGTAAATCCCCTGAACAAAGACCAATTTTAACCATGAATTTCTAGAAAAAAAACAATCAACTCCTGCAGCACTATGGACAAGGTGCTAGCCAAAGGTTGGAAGGCCATCATGAAGCCGCAGTCCCCCGTGATCCCTGCCACACCACGCATCTCCAGCCACTTCACGGCATCGATGAACTCCTGAGCAGAAACCCTCCGGGAAAAAAAATATTGCCTTGGGATATCGAAAAATGGATCGGAATCCCAGGAATATGATATATATATATATACTATCTATATATGTATGATATATATATTATATATATATATATATATACTTGATATCCCAATATCCCAATATCAAATCATAATATATAAGAATCATAGTTAATATAATATTATATATATATGATTATATGATATGTGTGAGTGATCCAATTCATGTCCTCTATGATCCCAAGAATTGGACGTAAAGTTTACTGAAGTGCTCCTGGGATCATCCCTTTGTGTTATGATAGCCAATAGATGACGTATAATTGATGTTCAATGGATTGGTTCAAGGGAAATTTTACAGGAAACCATGGATTTTCCCATTAAATATGGTAAATATTAGGGGCTTTCCGAATTTCCTGTGAATTTTCCCTTAAACCCATCCATTGAGATGTGGATGAACATAGCCAAAAATATGAATTATTCAGTTTGGTTTTCCGCCAATGCCACCATCCAAATCAACCAACCATGATTGGGGCCCTATGATTTCTCACCATCCTCAATGGAGGTATACCCACGAGTAAACCTCAATTGGGGACCGTTGATTGTTCTTGGGTTGACCGCATCAGTGTTTTTTTCGCATACGAACATGAAACCAAGTGAATTTGTTTTAGAGTATGTAATAGTCGTTTACACTGCAAAACCAGGTGTTATAACTAAATGGAACAACACGATATAAAAAAAAGTGCTATAACCAAGTGACATGAAATAATCATTGTGTAATATCATGTTTTTGAGAAAATGCAATGTTAGCATACCAATGCACATCTGCCACTAAATCCCCATTCTTGTTTTTGCAAGAAACGTAATGTATACCGGGTATAACCCACATGTCTTTTCTGGCTATACCTGGTGAGGATGCAATGAGGGTATAACTAAGATAGCATGAAAACAAAAAGGTATCAACCAAGCCTTTGGAGACCAAAGTCAAATTTGAAACTTGGTGATTGACAGTTGGAAATTACCTCAGATAGGCGGTTCTGGAAATCCGGAAAATTCATGAACAACAATGGCAATGTTTTCACAGTTGTTGGCCATTTTTTGACTAATTATCCCATTGACACTTCCCCCTGTAATGTTCCGGGTTGCAGTTGAGGCTATAAATTGGTATATTTCACCACAGTTGTAAAGGTAGACTTTCCCAACCTTCGGGGGGGTGATCCCATAGTTACACTCATTTAAAAAAGTAGTCCTGCACCTTCAAGTAGTGAGGTCTCTATCACTATGTCCCATTTTTCCCCCATATCACCATTGTCCTTCGACTAAACATTATCACCATATATCACCATTATTTATCCCCATAATGGTGGTTAGATGTAATAAAGTAATTTCATAGGTTACACCAGTAAACCTAGATTATTATAGTTTAAATCCCAAAGATATCATTTCAATGTGGTGCCCCCTCCCAGTTTCAAGTTGCTTTATAACCGCCATAAACTAGTTCGATATATCTACCAGAAGTTCAATCGTTATTAGAGTTACCCTCTGGTTATTTAACATAGCCATGGAAAATCACCATTTTTAATAGGTAAACCATCTATAAACGGGCCATTTTCCATGGCTATGTTAAATAACCAGAGGGTAGTTTCATCAACTTAGCAATTTTCACGAGGGCACCACCTTGTAGCTTTACCCATGAACCCATCAGCCTCGTTGCTACAGCGTTTTGTTCCCGAAACGATGCCCACAGTTATGGCCCTATAGCCAGTTATAAAGGAGATGAAATAACTCCTCTAACTTCCCGGTCTCAACTTGGTTGCCTTCTACAGCAATTACCTCCTATGAACATAATCCTGGGGAAACCAGGCTACTTGATGGATTTCCTGGCGTTCTTGGACTTCATGAGGTGGAAGGAGGCATCCAATCGACTGGGTAAAAACTCTTAGATGTTCATTCGGGTCCAACATTAGTCGAGAGCCACGTCTCAAAAACCTGGAGATATGATCAGGCACCCTGGTTTCTTCACTCGCGACAAGAGCATGAGAGTAAAACTCTCAGAAGGCGCCGGCAGTGGGTTATTACCGGCCACAGAAGCATCGAACCTTATATAATAATTATATATATATATATGGCCCAGGCCAGCACTCCCCCCCCAAAACCCACTCCCCATGTCATGGTCATGGTCCTGCATGTACGCTGTATGTAGGAGGCTCTATGTAAGGTAGAGCCAAAACCCACCCTTTGGGATGGGTGGGGTGTTATAGAGGTATCCTGTAAGGTAGTGTATATAAAGGTGGCATGAGGCCAGCATGTAAGTATAGCATATGAGATCAGGCCACCCCGGGGTGGTTTCTGAGGAGGGGGATAGCATTGGGGGGGGGTTGCCAGCCGCCGGGCGGGACCATAATATATATATATATATTATATTATTATTATATTATATTATATTATATTATATTATGTCTATATATATATATGTATTATATTATGTATATATATATATATATGTATTATATTATGTATATAAAATGAAATAGTCCCATTTATAACTGTTTATCGGGCCATAACTGTAGAGCTCCTGTCGTACGGGATCCGCTCCTGTTCCACGTCCTCGGAGAGTTGCCCGGACTGGGCCATGGCGAAGGTGAAGCCAGGCACCACGCGGAAGAGCACGTCGTAGTTGTAGGTCCCCGGGAAGTCCACATCGCCTGAGAGCTGGGCCATTAATATATTATATAGATAATCATGTATATATATATACACATATGTGATCATATGTATATATATATATATATGATTAAGCATGTGCATATATATATATGTATATGTATGTGTATATATATACGTATGTACGTTATGTTAATGATCTTTGGATAATATATATATATATATGCATTACATAATATATATATACATAATTTAATTACATGAAATTATATGAATGAGATTTAATGAGTATAATTGACAATTGAATTGAATGATATATATAATTTGCACATATACCCACATCTGGCACCGTACCTGCCAAAGAAAGCGAACTGTTAGGAAGTTGCGCAGTGGGTGCCAAGAATGTGACAGTACGTGTGTACCCAGTGATATTTGAATGTTCTTCTTAAGCTGGATGTTGCGGAATGGCGTTTGGGACAACCATAGTCAGCTATCGCGGTTCACACGTGAGGTACGCAGCTTAACTACGCAGAAAATTCTCCAGGAGATCGTCCATTTTTGGTGGTTAATGAAGTTGGCCAGCAAAATTCTTTTATGGCTATGGATCAAAAACCCAGCACACGAGTGACCAGATTTCCATCCCCCCAAATATTGCTTTGATAGAGTTTGACCCAAGGTTTGAATAGTCAAAAATCTCTCAAACCTGTTAAAAACCGAAAAAAAAGATCAAGGTCATCCCGTAACTGTCCCTACCATTTCCCCAACACGCCAATTACAGTACCCTCTGGTAAACGTTTACATAACTATGGAAAATCACCATTTTTAATGGGAAAATTCCACTATTTCTATGGCCATGGCTTCAATAGCAAACCGTTAAATTACCAGAGGGTATGTTTTCTGGGGAGATGTTGCCCCCCAAGAAGTTGCCATGAAGAACTGTGGAAGAGCAAACAAAAGGCATCACCACCGAAAGGATGCTTGAAACCCAAAGAAAATAGGTTTGTAAACCCCATGAAAAATATAGATATATCACCTATAAACCATATTTATTGGAGTTATAAACCAAAATATATAATGGGATGTAAAAACCAGCTGTTTTTAACTGGTGATTCGGATTTCGCAACCCTCCACCGTAGATTGGTAAGGACAAACAACCTGGGACACCTGGGAATACGCTGCTTGTAATAACTAAACCAACAAAAATGGCGATCCAAAACCAACCATTTGATGGGAACACAATGGGATATACGTGTGCATACTATATATATATATACATATACCCATATACATATACCCATATACATAAACAAATAATGATACAGGTTTACATATACATATACAAATATGTATATATATATGTAATATATCAATATACATATATATATATACATATAGTATATTTACACATATGAATGTACATATACAAATATACGTAACCACCAATCTGATACTGTGTCTCTTCATTCTCGACAAGGTGGGGCTCCAACTACTGGTGATTCCGAACTGGGCACCGAAAAACCCAAGATATAACCATGCGGTTGCAGTAACAACATGGAGACTTTATAGCGATTTAATGGAAATTGATAGTGATTTATAGTGATTTTATGGGATTTATAGTGATTTAATAGGATCTTATAGTGACTCAATGGGATATTAATGGGATATACCGATACAGTTTGCTATTGAAAATGGCCATAGAAATCGTTGCTTTACCCAGTAACAATGGTGATGTTCCATCGTTTTTTGTATGTTTACCAGGGGGTAGCCATTATTACCCATTGTTACCCTAAACTATCCCCATGAAATATCTCTTTAGCTATTAAACTAATCCTTGATGTTCGCATTCTCATCCTATCACTTGGTCAAATCCCATTGATATATCCCATAGGATTAATCGTCCAAATCTTGATTTACAATTGGATTGTACATATATATATATAATATATACATAATAAATATATATATATATGTTCAATATTCCTTTCTTTGCCCATCAATATCCCACTAAATCTTGTTTTTAAATGTCCTTTTTTAGTTTTACACCGACAAAGCGACTCTATTCCCATTATATTCCCATTGTATTCCCATAATTTCTTCCCTTTATTATCCCAATAAACTCCACTAAAGCCCCTATTCATCAGCCCATTAACCTCCCCTATTCCTCTCAGCATCATAGTCCCATGATATTGCCATGATTTGTTCCCTTTATTATCCCATCAATTGGTTCCCATGTTATAATCATAATCCAGACATAGATTGGTGATAATTCTCCCAAAATCAGACCCTGAGGATGAGCTTGGAAAGTAATCTTTCCCCATGGCAGGGTCTATAAGACGATGCCCCTAGCTGAACAGAACTCTAGTAGCTAGGATTTATGGTAGATATATATATACCCTCTGGTAATTTGACAGTTCGCTATTGAAAATGGCACATAGAAATAGCTTATTTACTCAAAGATGGTGATTTTCCACTTCGCACACTGTAAACGTTTACCAGAGGGTAATCCCATAGATATCCCAGTAATGGTCATGAAATTGGTTTTTGGTTTAGTATTTTGGGATTTTATTTAAAAAAATCAATGACCCCCTAAACGAAACCATGGACCATGGCTATCTCCAATTCGTTTCATTGGGAAACCCCCGTACCGTACGGGTAATCCCCAGAGATCAGAAAAAGGTGAACTCCTCCCCCAGCGCCCAAGGTGCCAGGTGCAGGTGGGTAGTTGTAGTCTAAGCGGATGACACCTGAAATCGCGAATGATTTTTTACCCTCCATGAAATGAAAACAGTTCGACCCTACCAGATAGGAGTTGGAAGATTAGTTGCTAAAAAAATAGTGTATTTTCAGGGTCCAACGGTCAATTTACTGGAGGCTACCCTCTGGTAAACGTTTACATAACTATGGAAAATCACCATTTTTAATGGGAAAATCCACTATAAATGGCCATTTTCAATAGCTATGTTAGTTTACCAGAGGCTAATCCCAACAAAGAAAAAGCACATGCCTCTCTAAATGGAATCGATCCAGTGATGCGGGTGAAAAAAAAACCTGTACCGCGACAGAATCCCATAGAAATTGGGATCTAAAAAAAATGTCAATTGAAATGGATTGAAGCATACCCTAAGGATCCATGTATGGAATATTTACCTACATTGGGATTATTTTAAATTACTTTAGGGGTCAATGTAGGTAAATATTCCATACATGGATCCTCTGGGATATGTTTACATCCGAAGAAATGCAATGATTTCTCCAACACTGTTGCTAATTAATTAGTTGTGCTTTGCGTGGCGAATCCAAGTCAATCTAAAATTATGGATAACCCGATAGCCTATGCACTGAATTTGTAGTGCTCAAACAAAACAGTGGCTATCCAGAGAGGTATTGAACAAACTACATAAATACAGTGACTATCCGAGAAATGAATTGAACATCCTAATTCAGATATATTCAGAATGTGGTTTTTGTCGCTGGAAAAAGCATGAAACATCGAAGGATTTTCAAGAAATTATCCAGCAGTCACCATGTGACTGACTCATGACACATTTCGAAAGTGGTTCAACAATCCCACTTGGTGGATCATCCCACGAATCGTAAGTGGGTTAGTTCACCCCAGTGATTGACATGGGATTTTTATAGGGTTAATCCACTCAAAAAACTGGGGTTATAACCCACTTACGATTCGTGGGATGAAGCACCAAGCAGCTGACGCGAATTCGATGGTTGTCTTCGCGCCTAAGATTGGAGCTTGCTGTCTTCGAACCTGGCAGGTGACAGCGAATCCTCCCAGGATGATTTGATGGCGAACTTGAAGCCGAAGTTTTTCCGAACAAAAAAAAAACAGAAAGTGGAATGGATTTTAGTGGTTAAATCCATCATTTAACATCATTTAACCACTAAGATCCTGGATCAACTGATGATCAACTGATGGATTTGAGTGGTTTTTGTGATGTTAAATGGTTTCGATGGCCACTGACTGTTTGGACCCCATCTTGTGCCAGTTGACCAATGATCACCAGAGTTCCGGCTGACAGCCACAGATATCGAATGCACATCCCGCAGTTTTGAACACACAACTGTCTTGTAAAATCTTGCAAAAACTCAATGTTTTGGTGGTTAAATAATCCTAAAGCTTCATATTTGATGGTAAGATCATGTCACATCTGTTGTTTTAGTCTCCAAATCCAGTTTTTGCCAGTCAAAATTCCAATTTTGTTTGTAAACATCCACAATTCTGCTGGCTTAAATACCCAATGTCAGTTGCTTAAACCATGTCTCCAACTTGGGTGTACCGTTGAGCGTAGAAATTTCAAAAAAAGAACCATAGTCGTTGAGTTCTACGGGGCCAAAAATCCATACAAATCCCAACTTATGGAGGTCGTGTTTCAATGATTCAATAGTTGTACCGATCAATAGACCCAGTCCTCACCACCACGAGCAGTGTCTTAGTGCAGTGTGTTGCATATCCTCTGGTAAACGTTTACATAACTATGGAAAATCACCATTTTCTAAAAATGGGTAAATCCACTATTTCTATGATCATGGCTTCAATAGCTATCTTAGTTCACCAGAGGGTATCTCTTCTTAGCAAAATTCTAAATGTGGTTGAGTGTATAAATCCCCGATGCTGGCTGCTTAAACTATGTCACGACAATCTCCCCTCGTAGTATTGATATTAGTCTGGCTGTTGCCGGGTCATTCTATCTTTGAAAGTTCTATGATGCGTTATTTAAATCAACTATTAGAGTTTGTTTGAGCATATTTGAGCTATATTCATCAACTTAGCTATCTAGAACATCTACAACGTTGGTGTTCCATGCAGTTTCATTGGCAGATTCCATGGGGAACTTCCCTCGAGATAGCTCTATCTTGGCTATATTCCTCTTATCTGAACTCTTCTCCCAACTATTATCCCCATCTGGTTGGTGGTATACCTACCCCTCTGAAAAATATGAGTTCGTCAGTTGCGATAATGAAATTCCCAATAGATGGAAAGTCATAAAATTCATGTTCCAAACCACCAACCAGACTATATCGTTATTCCAATTATTATATAACCATTATTAAATTATTAACCATAGATTAACCATAGATTGACCATAGATTAACCATAGATTAACCATAGATTAACCAGGAAAATTCCATGGTTCCAGTCACCACCAACCAGCCATCAATTCCTATTCTTGCTGGTGAATTTCCAGTGATTCACCATTTCAGGGTCCGGTCGCGACCAAGGAGGTCATGATCAAATTTATCGATGATCCATCATTTCCCCACTCAAAGCTCCATGGAACAGTCACGGATTTCGGAATATTCCTACAGGATAGGGCCCCCAAGATAGCTAAGTTGGTTTATAAATGGCTTAACTATGGTTTATGGTAGATATAACTATAGATAACTATGGTTAATGGGGTTTATAAACCAACTTATAACTGGGGGGCCCCATCCTGTACTCTTTTCCCATCTTTTTACGACCAGTGAGGTCTCCAGAGGTCTCCAGAGGGCCTTCTTTTGAATCTGCTCAATCTGTTGCCCCTTGCTGAGCGCCTCCACCTTCTTCCTTGAAGGCAGGTTAGCAAGGTGGTTGCAAGAAGAATTGGGGAACTAAGGATGTATTTATGGTGAACCGATTTGGTGATTATAACAACATAATACAACATATATAATTAATCATTCTGTAGTTTGATAATGGTTGATTGGTGTAAGGGAACATGTACAGAAAACCATGTGTTATTTTCGCCCGCAAATATGGCAGTTATCGCAGTCTCCTTTTCAGATTTTCCCTCAAAGCCGTGGAACGACCGATGATTCATGGTGACTCTTGGTTCATGACTGTGGTTTGCTATTCATGATGCGTAGAGGTTTTAGGGCGCACCATGACCACTGGGAGTGTTCATCCTATTCATCTGGATAAATGGTAATAACTCACTGATTCACTAACCTGCATTACGATGATAATTAAATTGATTAGTTTTGGTGTTAATTCCCTAACCATATGATTCCCAGAATTAAATCAATGATTCACTACGGTTAATTGCTAATTCATTGTAATTAAATTATATTAAATGATTAACCGAATTGTTGAGAATCATAGTAATCATGACCTGAACTGGTTGGTGGGTTCAACCATCTTGAAAAATATGAGTTCGTCAATGGGAAGGATGACATCCCATATATGAAATGGAAAATGACAGTCATATTCCAAACCACCAACCAGTGAATGAAATTACCCTCTGGTAAACTAACGTAACTATGGAAAATCACCATGCTATTAATGGGTAAATCCACTATTTCTATGGCCATTTTCAATAGTTTTTTGTATGTTTACCGGAGGGTAAGCATCTGGATGAGAGTTCATTGTGCCATGATTTCCCCCCTATGAAAAACATCTATCAAAACAGGCCAACAAAAAAACGACCGCTCGCTCGGTAAACGGGCGTGATCCAAGAACTGGCCCCCCGAAATAAAGGGCCGGCCAGGGGCAAAACGGGATCGGTAAAAAGTACACAAGTTTAATGGGATATTATGGTGATTTAATGGGATATTATAGTGATTTAATGGGATATTATAGTGGTTTAATGGGATTTTATGGTGATTTAATGGGATTTTATAGTGACTTAATGGGATTTTATGGTGATTTAATGGATTTTATAGTGATTTAATGGAATTTATAGTGATTTAATGGGATTTATAGTGATTTAATGGGATATTATAGTGGTTTAATGGGATTTTATGGTGATTTAATGGGATTTTATAGTGATTTAATGGGATTTATAGTGATTTAATGGGATATTATTGTGATTTAATGAGATTTATAGTGATATAATGGGATTTTATGGTGATTTAATGGGATTTTATAGTGGTTTAATGGGATTTTATGGTGATTCAATGGGATATTAATGAGATCTACCCTCTGGTAAACTAACAGTTTGCGAGCTGCAAAATCACTTTTGTTTTTCGCAAAATCAGCTACAGTATGTATATATATATATATGTTGTGGGGCAATGTTCAATAGCTATGTTAAATTACCAGAGGGTATATCCAATCAGCCAGTTGCACTTTGATAACACATCCATTTTGCTGTTGATAGTCACCGTTGAACCCCCGGTTGCTGGTGGTTACACCGAACTTTGATACCACTAGATCATCATTGGTTCTATCAGTTGTATCCAATAATGTCCGTTTGGTAAAAATAGAGGGGCCGGTTTGGGATAAACAAGATATGGTTATATCCCCATTATATGAAGATATTAGTCAGGTACCAGGGTGATTGTTCTATTTGTGCAGAATCTACCTGAGGTTCCCCAGTTCAGACCAGAAATGGCAATGATTTTTTCTTAATTGCAGCGAATCTCTAAATTAGAGTAACAAATGGTTTCAAGTTGGAACTGGGCAAAAACACCATGGCAATTCCTGCTTCGAACTGACGTTCCAGGTTTTAAACCCTCATCGTGCAGTTTCATATGTCGGATTTTCGGATCTACCCTCTGGTAATTTAACATAACTATGGAAAATCACAATTTTTCATGGAAAAATCCACTATAAATGGCCATTTTCAATAGTTTTTTGTATGTTTACCGGAGGGTAAGCATCTGGATGAGAGTTCATTGTGCTATGATTTCCCCCTATGAAAAACATCCGTCAGAGGTTTCTCGAAAAATATGCATCCGAGAAGCCCCAGATTCTTCTGCGCCTTATTCACCAACAGAGCCTGCTCATCTTTTGTCAAATGATCACCTGAGACAGGCAGCCATGGAAAAAAATGGCACCGGGCACCGGAAATTCTGCTGATCATCTGATCTGGATGTATCCAGATGTTTCACATCTGACTCATATGATCCGTATTATGATCCATATGACCTTGCCAAGTACCAAGGGTTTTATCCAGGGTAAACATACCAAAACCCTGGTGTTCGACGTGTTCTCCGCTAGGAAAATGATCTACACTGGTGGGTGCCTTCTACATCGAAGTGTTAGTTTGGAGGAGGCTTTTCAACAAAACATCATGTGGGTTATCCATTCAACAGTCACGGGGAATCTTCCAAGATATGGGGAGAGAATAGATTTATTATGATTTATTTGGGTGAAAATGCAGGTCATGGCGAATTCAGGCATCAAACACTGGCTGAAACCTGGCTGAAACATAATGCACTCATCCTATCCCCCTACAATCTGGGGGGCCCCCAATACGATAGCTTGGCCAACATAATTCCAATAACTGACCAGATCAATATTGTCCTTTCGGTAAAAATAGAGGGGTTGGTTTGGTATTACCAATTTGGTATACCATCTATCATCATTTACATGTTGTTAAAGGGGTTTCTTCAAAATCCTCTTTTTTCATCAACCAACCAATGGGAATTTGGGACATCTATGGACCATATTTTTTCTAGGGTAAACTAACGGAAAATCATCTAGAACTGGTTACCATGCGGTATCCACATCGAACTGTAGACGTTTTTTCTTCAGGCTAACGTTTTAATTTTATTTTTTGGCCATGAGTCGCCCTTAAGGCCATCCCTACAGCAACGCAGACTTTGGTCATATATATATATGTATATATTATGTATATATATAAATAGATATATATATATATACCACAAACAATCCATAAACCATAGTTCATGGGGTTGAACATCTGCCAACTAGATTACTCTACCATAAGTCCAATCGCTGTCGAACGGGATTTGTATAGTTGGTGGTTCCTGCTTGGTGGTTGAGCCAACCTACGCCTCTGAAAAATGATGGAGTGAAAGTCAGGCAGGGGATGATGAACTTCCCAATATGATGGGAAAATCGTAAAATTCATGTTCCAAACCACCAAGCAGTATATAAATCCCTTTTTTTATGTCTGTTGTTGTTGGTTAAAAATCTGATGTCACTTTGTCTATTCATCAGGTCCCGATGGGAAATTCCCATTGAAAAATCCTATGAAACGCCAAAAATACCATGAAATTCCCAAATCAGGTCTGAGACACCGAGTTCATAGGCCTCCTGCTGTCCATCCCACTCACGTTGCCAGTCCTGGAGCCAGGAATGCGCATGTTTTGACACGGAATATGCAAATAGTACCAGAGCTATGGACAATGTCGTTAGTTCAATTAGTTCAATCAAATTTCTCATTTGCACAAAAGCCATGGGCGTGCTGTATTTCAATAGAACCGTTGAAAAAAAAACATATACACGGATGGCAAAACTACAAGGGGTTCCTCGCAAGTTTTGGCAACCATCAATCCGAATCAGCCCTTTCTCACTGATTCTGAGGCAACCCAGTTATTTATCTTATTATTAGATATTATATTATATATAGTCAAAAATTAGTTGATATTGTATGTATGTATAAACTTTATATATACACAATCTATACATATATATGTATATATGGTCCCGTCCTCCGTCTCTCCACCCCCCCCCATGGGTTGGGTCCCCAGGTAGTAGCCCCAATTCCCTTCTATTTGCAAGCTATTGGCAGCATTTCTGAGGTCCAGCTTCGTATTTGCTAGGTCTTTGCAGCATTTCTGACTACCAGCCTCGCATTTACTAGGTACATGCTACCTTTTAGGCGACCTACGTAGCACACATACTCCTTCAAAGTACCTACGTGCTACCTATAGTCATACATATATGTGCTATGTATCTACTGTATCTACTTCCTGTTTACTACCTGTGTACTCTGACAACACTACCTCTGTTGAACATATACCGTACCTACCATACATGTCAATGATGCCATGCATACCATACCTATCATATCTATCATACATACCATACATACCATACATATGAAATGTAATTACCACACCTACCATACATACAATAGCATACATACAATAGCAAGCATACATGCCATACATACCATACCTACCTTAGATAGGACATATTCCATACCCATCATAGTAACCATACATACCATACAGACCATACATACTGTCATATCAAACATACCATATCCAACAGACTTACATACCATACCTACCATCCATACAATACCAACCACTCATGCCATACATACCATACCTACCATACATACCAAACATACCATACTTTCCAAACATGCCATACCAGACCGACCATACACACCATACATACCCACCATACCATACCACACCCCCACCACACCACAGGGGGGGGAGGGGGACAGTGCCACACCCCCACCACACCACAGGGGGGGGAGGGGGAAGATCTCATATGGGACCAGTATATGGGACCCATCCACCACACCACAGGGGGGGGAAGGGGGACAGTGCCACACCCCCACCACACCACAGGGGGGAGGGGGAAGATCTCATATGGGACCAGTATATGGGACCCATCCACCACACCACAGGGGGGGGAGGGGGACAGTGCCACACCCCCACCACACCACAGGGGGGGAGGGGAAGATCTCATATGGGACCAGTATATGGGACCCATCCCATATGGGGGGGGGAGGGGGGGGGTGGCAGGGCCTGGTGCATATATAAGCAAATAGATAGTGTCATAATCTAAGCATATATAAGCAAATAGATAGTGTGTATGTGTATATATATATATATGCAATTATATATACACACACAAGCACATGCGGAATTGGTGGCAAATGGTATGTATATTACTGTACAGTAACCCCTGAACAGTAGAAAGGTAATTTACTACTAGATGTGTCTAGTAGGATTGTACCAGCTTGGACCTTCGTGTTGCTACAATGTACTTTCACGGTGATGATGACGCAAACCCAAAATTAACCATCCCCTATTTTGGGCTATATCATGTTGTTTCATCACTGGGTATACTGTATACCCGTAGTTCGGAGGGTGAGAAATGACCTTCAACTCGTTGATCACTGGGATAGTTTACGATTGAGTTGGCTACACTCAATCAACCTGCCCCAACAGCCAAATGGGAATGAAAGTGGAAACGCTATACCCCCCAACTGGTCAATGAGAAGATGGCCATGACATGATCTCTGGATTTCGGGCCTTCCATTTCCGATGTTGAAACACGCCCAAACTTGGATTCCTTCATGACATTCATGAAATCACTTCTAGGCCTTAGGAAACGTTTACTTTTTTCCTTAAAACATCTTGGAACCCAGCTGGTCTAATAGTCAGCTGATCTAATGCCTAGAAATTATTTGCTGAGACATGCCCATCTCCCCTACCCTAGTTACCCCCCTCCCCCTCAAAATCATGTCCACAATTATGTTCGGGGGGTAGTGCAATAATGTCCTAGGTTTGGGCCGGTTTGGTTAATCCCATCTATCATCATAGAAACCTGTTATTTCGGGGTTTCTCTTCAGAAACCCCTCTGAATTTTTCATCAACCAACCAATGGGAATTTAAGGGACATCTATCTGGGCAAATTATAAAAGTTCACTAACCTGAAGTAAGGCCAATTGGGGATGATTTCCCATATTAACCATGATTTCCAGTGAGGTCGCAGTGAGGTCGTTACAATTTACCCAGATCTATGGGGTAGTGTCGTCGATAGTCATCCAGTCATCCCGCATCGATTCATTCCGCCTGTTGCCCGAAGCGTGGCTCGTCCCGGAAGGCCGTGACGTAGAAATCCGCCGCAGTGATGGCATCCCAAACGGGCAGCCCGGTGTGGTAGCGCAGCGCGTCGGCGTAGGGGGGCAGCTCGGTGCATTCCTGGGATCCCAAAAATGTGGGAAATGTACAGGATAGGGCCCCCAAGATAGCTAAGTTGGTTTATAAATGGCTTAGCTATGGTTTATGGTAGATATAACTATAGATAACTATGGTTAATGGGGTTTATAAACCAACTTACAACTGGGGGGTCCCATCCTGTAGGAAAACATCGGAAAAAAAAGGTGGAAAAAACGAATGGAAACCAGAGAAATGTAGGAAATCTCTTCAGTTGTGTTAGTAAAACACCTTGCAAATCCTGGTAAAGCACTGGAGGACATGAGAATTTTCGAAGTTATAAACTCATACACCACACTTGGAATATCTTGGAATGATACATACAAAAGACTTGGATGCTCTTGGACCTTGGATTAGTCATTCACATACAATCATATACAGTACTACAAATATGTGCATGGGTGTCGATGAAATTAGGGTATCCCAAAATATTGGGGTTATACAATTACGCATTCTCCCATGAAATAGCTAGAGTTGGAGGTATCTTTCATTTCCAGACCCTATGTCAATGACGTAAACAAAAGCTGAATGTAGGAATCGTCTCAACTGGGGTGATAAAAAGTTACACCAAGAAAAACACGCAATTCTGTGGATACCCTGAATCTGTTTTCTTGTGAATATGGGGTATCCAGGGTATCATCACATCTGGATACACCCAAAAAAAAACCCGAATATGGCATGATTTTCCCAGGAGAAAATGCTGCAACATCCCAGCGCCGGCGATGGAGCCCCAGGGTCCAAGAGAATGGCTCGAATCTCAGGTTTCTCCTTGATAATTCCCTTGACCAGCTGAAGGATGCCTTCCGGAGCTGGAAAAAAAGATGGAAGATGGACCGTGATGGATGGATATGGATGGATATGGATGGAACACCGTCCAAATCTAGGCTACGAAAAAATTCATGATGTCCTAAGGTTTCGAAATGCTGCTCTCCTTAGTCCGAGGCTAAATCTTCCATAGTTACATGGATTGTATCAGAAACTTGGTGACTTGCCGATCCCTTTCAATAATGCTGAAGTCTCAGTGCGATGTATGCTGCTTACCAACCCGCTTTAACACCCGGTACTCACCAAGGATTGAGGACTTTCCAAAAACCTCCGCAACAGCACGCCACGCAACCCCCTTTTTGTGTGAAACATGCAGCACAAAGATGTAAAATGAAAGACACATCTAAAACATATATATATATATGTATAATTTATAATACTAAAACACATATATAATCTAAGCAATGCACATAATCCAAATAAAATGATCATAAATTAATCCAAGCTTCCAAAAACACCATGGTCACATCCTAAAATGTCACCCTGCGCTCCAGGATCTTAGCACCCATGAAGCCTTATTTTTTGTATAACCACTAGATACCTTATATACAGCCAGTATATAACCACTATATAACAACTATCTATATCACTATGTTGTTTCGGAATGTTGGAATGTTCTGACTAGGAACCAAACAACTATCTATATCACTATGTTGTTTCGGAATGTTGGAATGTTCTGACTAGGAACCAAACAACTATCTATATCACTATGTGTTTGGGGAATGTTGGAATGTTCTGACTAGGAACCAAACCACTATCTATATCACTATGTGTTTGGGGAATGTTGGAATGTTCTGACTAGGAACCAAACAACTATCTATATCACTATGTGTTTGGGGAATGTTGGACTGTTCTGACTAGGAACCAAACAACTATCTATATCACTATGTGTTTGGGGAATGTTGGATTGTTCTGACTAGGAACCAAACAACTATCTATATCACTATGTGTTTGGGGAATGTTGGATTGTTCTGACTAGGAACCAAACAACTATCTATATCACTATGTGTTTGGGGAATGTTGGAATGTTCTGACTAGGAACCACACAACTATCTATATCACTATGTGTCTGGGGAATGTTGGAATGTTCTGACTAGGAAGCAAACAACTATCTATATCACTATGTGTTTGGGGAATGTTGGAATGTTCTGGCTAGGAACCAAACAACTATCTATATCACTATGTGTTTGGGGAATGTTGGAATGTTCTGACTAGGAATTGTTTTAAACAAATGGCTGATCTCTGACATGCAAAAGCTTGCAAAACAAAAATCACTGATGAATTGGTCGATGTTCATCGATTTTGCAATTTATAGGCAACAAATCCCAAAAATAACCCACTAATTAACCAACCAAACACAAATTTGACCCAGTATATTGGCGTGTCTGAAAATGCAAAAATAAAACACTGTCCTGTGGATTTGGACCATTTGGTGTACCTTACCTTTAAGCAATGGCTCACAGTTGGGAAACATTATCCGAAATAGCCAGCATGTTTGTTTGCTGCAAGCTACCAGCAGTCCAATTTGGAAAAAAACAAACACATAGTTAAATAGCCCCCCAGCCAAAACACAAGGTTGACCCAGTCGATTAATCATACTTGGAAATAATCGAGCAAACACATATCAACAAATAGGCCCCAAACAATTTTCCATATACCCTTTGGTAAACTAACATAGCTATAGAAAATCACCATGCTCAATACGTAAATCATCTATAAATGGTCCATTTTCCATAGCGAACTGTTAGTTTACTGGAGGGTATAACCAAGAAATACTCCAAACGAGCACCAAAGTTGACTCAGTATGTTTGCCGCTCCGCCTGGCTGCACCTTTTCCACATCCACCTGGCTGTGAAAATCCACAGGAATTTCCATGGATTTTCCTATGAAATCTTGACTCTCTCTCTCTGCCCAAGCCGGGAAACATGTATATATATTATATATATATATTTATGTACTGTATGTATGTATATAAATATCCTAAGTGGTTTGTTGGTCAGTAACAGTATGTTTCTCATCGACCTAGTAGTAAACTTCGGAATTCATGCCAACAGTTATATAACCACTACACAACAACTACGTCCTCTATCCTAGTAGTTGTTTCTCATCGCCAACAGTAAGCCCCAGTAAGCATATCATCCCCAGACATTTTCACTTCTGGCGAAGCCCTTCGGACCATCTCGGGACGAACATCGCGTGAGTTTCAAACATAGCGTGAGTTGCACGTGGTTTCTATAGTTCGCTATGTCCAAAAAAATTGTGAACCATTTCCATCCGATTCATGCCCATGAAAATCCCATCTGGTTGGTGGAATACCTACCCCTCTGAAAATATGAATTCGTCAGTTGGGATTATTATTCCCAATATATGGAAAGTCATAAAATTCATGTTCCAAACCACCAACCAGACTATATTGTTATTCCAAATATTAACCATTATTAGATTATTAACCATAGATTAACCATAGATTAACCATAGATTAACCATAGATTAACCAGGAAAATTCCATATTTCCAGTCACCACCAACCAGCCATGAAAATCCCTTCTGAATCTCGCATTGAATCCCCGAGATCCCCCCCAGCTCTCCCCACCTTTTGGCCCAAGGACACCGCTTCGAAGCCCGGTACGTCTTCGCAGCCATGGATATGGAACCTCTCCTGTGAAAACAGAGAGTTTTCAATGTGATTTCAAGGGGATTTATATTGTGATGTTTCGATTTGTTGTCATAAGGAAGTATGATCACATAATGAAAAAGATTAGGTTGTACTATGTTGTACTATGATAAGTCATGAATTTTTAATGTTATAAACCCAACATTTCACCTGCCATATGGGGGTTTCTGAAGTTAATGGGGGATCCCCCGTCACCATGGCCAGCCCAGGATCGGTGTTGGGATGAAGCCTGGGATCCTGAGATTCGTCTCTTCTGGAAAGTCATCAACAATATAGGGACTTAATATGGGTTTTTATGGGACTTAATATATCTTAATATGGACTTCGAATCCAATCCATGGTTCCAGTCACCACCAACCATTTTTTCAGTCCATATTAAGATATATTATATTATTAAGATATATTAAGTCCCATAAAAACCCATATTAAGTCCCTATTGTTGATGGGAAAATTCCATGGTTCCAGTCACCACCAAGCAGAAAAAAATGGCTGATGCTTGTGGCTGAATTACCCTCTGGTAAACGAACTAACAGTTCGCGAACTGGAAAATGGCCCATTTACAGTGATTCAATGGGATATTAGTTGGATATACCCTCTGGTAAACATACAAAAGCCATTGAAAATGATCATTTATAGTTGAATTACCTATTATAAATGGTGATTTTCTATAGCTATGTTTAATTACCAGAGGGTGACTCTGGTCGGTAGATATAACGAACCAGATAACTAGATAACGAACATAGTATTCATGGGGTAAATCTATACCAACATTCACATCACTGGGGGCCCCATCCTGTAGATGATACACAATAGTATACCAAAGCGACCCCTATATTTGCCCATGATCAAAGCACGGGATGCATGGGGCTGGTCATATTCCTGCACTGATTGATATCAATTACTGTATATGAAATATCCTGAAAAAGCAAAGTTACACCCATATTCTGTAAATGTATAGATTGTATAGTAGCCCCAAATACAAAAGCTTCAATGTATCACATTATTCAACTCGATGTTACGAACTCTTGCCTCTTTTGGGGTGCTATAAAAACACGGCCACATCTATCAATCTGGGTAAATTAGAATAATTCACTAACCTGAATTAAGGCCGTTTGGGGATGATTTCCCTTATTAACCATGATTCCAGTGAGGTCGCAGTGAGGTTGTTATAATGTTTAATTTACCCAGTAGTATGTTTACCAGAGGGTAAAGCCATGGATTCCAGGAGGATTCTGGCGGATCATCCCGCTCCTTGCTGACATCAAAGCCACAACTCGTCAAGAGAATTTCCTTCCTGGGCGGGCACGGGCTGGATTTTTTGTTTTTTTTTGTAAATGGCTAAAACTAACCATTAAGATAACTTTGATAACTTTGATAGATGATTTACCACAAAAAAAATGAACATGGTGATTTCCATTGGCTATGTTAACTAACCGAAGGGTAATTATATAAAGAATCAAGATGCAACTTTTTTGTGTGTTTCGTTGAACTCTAGGGTGTAAAACAACTGGGTTGCCAAATTCCAGAAAACAAATACCCTCTGGTAAACTAACAGTTTGCTATTGAAAATGGCCATAGAAATCGTTGATTTTCGCATTGAAAATGGTGATTTTCCATAGTTATGTTAGTTTACCAGAGGCTAATGTGGTAAACCCAATGCCATAAACCATCCCCATTCCATCACCACTTTTATGGTTTTTCTCAGAGCTAGTTCCATTCTTGTTTATGGCATTGGAAAACCCCACATTAACTTTGCCAATCTTAGATACGCAAAAAAAAACTATTCTTCGCTTAAGCTAGTACACTTTACCATGGAATACCATTGATGGAATGGTGAATCTTCGATACAGTACTGTCAAAACAAACTAATTCTTAGCTTAAATGAGTACAGTTTACCATAGCACGCTACACTCTTCAGGATTTGTTCGTTTCTACCCATCCAGTTGCTCAAAGGCCGGGGCCGGGGACGAAGACCTAGGACCTAACATATCATGAGAAAATGATCTACCCTCTGGTTATGACTAACATAGCCATGGTATAGATGGCCCATTTATAGTGAATTTTCCCAGCTAGAAACCTCCATTTATAAGGGATTTTCTAGTTTGCTATGTTAAATAACAAGATGTTAAGACTCCCATTGAGACTCTCTGGTTTATAAAAAGGTGTGACTGGAGGCTTGTAACCTACAGTATGTTGATTCTTTTTGTCAATTGGTTTGTGCTGTTCCAAAGGACATCTTCCGTGTTTTTTGGTTTACATCTTCCGTGACACTCCAGCGATCCCTAAGATCCAACGCCTGATCCCCCCTTCAGCAGGTCGTTCCCAGACCCCATGAAAAAAGCCGAGATTCTGTGGTTTCAAAGACTCGCTATTGGCCGTCAAAATCAGGATGTCATCATCTGAGCGTCGGTTTCAGAACGACTTTAGATTTTAGATCTTATTCACAAGCCATGTTTGCAGTGGTCAAAAGATCCTCTGGATCTATATTTATCTATATGGGGTATGGTCATCGCACTATTAGGGGTTCCTTTTAATGGATATATATATATATATCTGGGTAAATTATAATATTTTGACTAACCTGAATTAAGGCCATTTGGGGATGATTCCCCTTATTAACTATGATTCCAGTGAGGTCGCAGTGAGGTCGTTATAATTTACCCAGTTTTAATGGATATATCAAGCCGGATGAATGGGGGGAATGACCTTCGCACAACGAGAACATCAACCAAAACTTGGAGGATCATCTGAAGTGCCACCAGCGTGAACCGTTCACCAATTGGACCAGTTGGTTCGTTCACCCATTGGACCAAAAGGAAAATGGGATCTAATTGGATTCTATGGTGTTTTAATGGGATTTTATAGTGATTCAATGGGATATTAATGGAAACTACCCTCTGGTAATTTAACGTAGCTATTGAAAATACCCCATTTATAGTTGATTTACCCATTAAAAATGGTGATTTTCTATATAGTTATATTAGTTTACCAGAGGGAAATCCGACTGAATGGAGACTTGCTAACTGAGCAGTGTTTCAAAAGCTTGTCGTTTCATTCTACTAGGTGAATGGGGATTTTCCTATTGGGCTATAGTCGCCAATATGTGTGTATATATATATATTGGTTAGGACCAACCATATATCAACCATATGATTATACTAACCATATATATATATATTGATTGATTATCCTAACTATTGGGTGTGTATATATATATATTGGAAAAAATACCATCTGGTAAACAATCAAAAACTATGGAAAATAACATTCTTTAATGGGAAAATCAACAAACTAAATGGCCATTTTCAATAGCTATGTTAAATTACCAAAGGGTATATATACATAATATATCTATAATATATATATATATACATATATATATATATTGGTTAGTATAATCCCCGCACCAACCATCAATCAACAGGGGTTTTGAACACGACTCGGGGCAACCCCAAGCACAGTCCATGTATCCTCCAAGTACAAAGTTAACTGCATCGTTTGCCGAGCCTTTTACCTCAATATATAATTTATATATATATATATGTATATATGGGTAAATTATAATATTTCACTAAACTGAATTAAGGCCATTTGGGGATGATTTCCCACATAAAAACCATGATTCCAGGGCTCGGTCGCAGTGAGGTTGTTATAATTTACCCAGATATATGCCTACATATTTATGTGATTACATAGGTATGCAGACCTGCAATGGCTTGAAATTAGAAAAAAACACTTGGTTTTGTTTAGAACATTGATGCATATGCTCCCATATGCTCCATGTATGGAATATTTACCAACATGTGCCCTAAAAATCACCCAAATGTAGGTAAATATACCATACATGGAGCATCTGGGTATATAAGTCTGCAATCAATAGTTGCAAAGCCACCTATGTACTGAACAAATTTTAGTTGGGATACAACTGGGGAAGTTTCCTGCTGCCGTCCTCAAGCGTGATCGTCTGAATCATACCACAGTTGTTTCACATATAGATAATTCTAATGGCATTGGTTGACATGGATGTAGAAAAACGGCCATGTATACCCAATTCGATCTTGCCATGTCATTTCATATCGCTTGGGAAATCATTCAGTTCTTATACTTGGTGGTGCATCCCAAAAATCCTAGTATCAATGGGAATTCCAGGATCCTAAAATGGAGGTACTGTACCATAGAAGGGCATATTTTGTGGGGATATTCCCTTACATAGGCCTGAAAAATTGGCCTTATATATGGAATCGGTACCTCCAATCCATCGGTTCCTGAGTCATGGCCGTTGATAGTAGGTTATAAGATGTAAAAGTATGGAATTGTCCACTTCTAACTAGGGTGAACGAACCTTAACTGTTAGGATCCTTGGAGATCCAACAAGTCCAGTTGTGATCCCTGTATATATCCATAGAATTAACTGGCCATAGGGTTAAAAGTTATAACTGTTATAACCATAGAATCCCAAGCAAAAGAAAAGTGGCTCATCCCACTTACAATTCGTAGGTTATATCCCTGGTTTTTTATTTTTTCGGATAAGTAGGGTATTGTCCACTGATTACTAGGGTGAACTAAGCTTAAGGATTCGCGGGTAGTTCGCCAGCAAGTAATCCAAGTGATCCTGTATAGCAATCGCAAAATCGAACAGTTGAACACCTGGTAAACATCCCATTCTTTACCCTCTGGTAATTTAACGTTGAAATCAAAAATTATAGTGGATTTACCCATTGAAAATGGTGATTGTCCATACTTTTTTGTATGTTTACCAGAGTGTATAGGCTTTCAACCATCCGTTTGGTGCAGGATTTCGCTGGCCTACAGTATGTACATCTCATCGACTCATCGACTCATCGACTGATGGAACCGGGAAGCTTGTTGACTTCGGCATCTTCTTGGCAAACCAAAAAGTAACAAGCCTGTGTTGCGATAATCAACTGCCATAAGATCATCCATAATAAACATTAATAAACTACAGTTACAGGACAATCCATGATAATACAGAATCATATTTTAATATTTTAATTGTTGCGATAATCAACTGCCATAACCCATTTGAACCATGGTGCTGGAATATGCACACCTACATAAAAACACCAAAAATTGCCCAGTTTTGTAGGTAAATATTCCAGCACCATGGAGCATCTGGGTAAGGTCATCCATAGTAAACTACAGTTACAGGACACAGGATAATCCAGAATCATATTTTAATAAACTGCTGTATGTAGGGCCATTTTAAATGTTTAACATATTCATAATATGTTAATCCATTTTTTTCATAATTCACCAACCTGAAAATAACTGTTATCGTAGGGCCAATGATCCGAATTTTATGGGGCCAATGATTTTTGCATCAGAAATCTGTTGGTTAAATCTCAACCTTTCAGAAGGATCAATCATGATCAATATTTCAATGGCCATTTCAGGAACCGATTGATTGGAGGTACCTACCATATATAAGGCCTATGTAAGGCCTATGTAAGGGAATATCCCCACAAAATATGGCCTTATATGGTACAGTACCTCCATTTTAGGATCCTGAAATTCCCACTGACATGATCAATATTTCTACTAAATCATCCAGATCTAAAAATATCATCACTTGCTGGTTCATTCCAGTTATTACAGTTATTAGGCGAGAAGTAGGGAAAAACTCCAGTGCACAGGGCGTTACGGCGTAGCTACCACTTTCACCACTTTCACGGCTCCCTGGATGAGGTATCGTTGGTATCGTTGGTCAACAATCACCACTTGGGTCGTGGTTGGCCATTCCCATCTCCACGTGGCCCGCGTTTCACCATCATTGTTCCATTGCTATATTTTGATCCCCATTGAATCCCCAATTTCATGAACCTCCTGTTGTACCCCCAAAAAAAACAATTGAAATCCCATGAAATCCCCAACAAAAATCCCCCAGAAATCCGGATCCATAGCCCCAACCTGGATCCAGCGATGCTGCGATGATGGGACACTGTACCTTAGCAGCCGCATGGGCGCCGCGCCAAGCGCCCAGCCGCATCGAATCAATCGATGAACAGCGAAGACCTCTAAAATCCCATCCCATGATATTGGTTGGTAATTAAGTATTCCAATATAATATGGATCATAACGGGAAAAACTGTTAGTCTATAATATGATTAAGTATTCCAATATTTTAAATAAGCAATATTGATTTGCCAAGCAATATATTTATAAATAAATAAGCATTATTAAGGATGATCTATATATTATAATGGGATATAACTGCTTATTAAAAAACGGTTGGTTTATTGATCAAATCCCATTGGTTGTAATTCTATTTCGGATCACAACTGCTTGGTGGTTGAGCCTACACCTCTGAAAAATGATGGAGTTCGTCAGTTGGGATGATGACATTCCCAACTGAATGGAAAAATCAAACTCATGTTCCGAACCATCAACCAGATAATAATTGATCCCAAATCTATAACATGTTAAAATGATATGTCAGTATAAGAAATATTGAGGGTTATGATCCAATAAGCTCTTATTTTAATATGTTAGTATATCAATCAACAAATCAGCCGTTATAAACCCTTATATCAATCCATCAACAGTGCTACTTTCATTGGCATCATTGGATGCCGATGGCTGGTTGGTGTTTTATTTTATTCACACCTCTGGTGTCTTAATCTAACAGCAAAAATGATGATTTAATTATGATTTAGTGGATTTGGCTGATGAAGGTGATTGAATGGGATTTAGATAACTAAGTTGTTTATGTTTTTCGCTTGATTAATGTTTGGGTCTATAAGGAATTTCACTAAGTTGTATGGAGTGAATCTCAAGGTTCCAATCGGGGGGCCGTATCTTGAAGAAATGTTTTTGGCTTGACATTTTGACGTAGGCAAGGTAGACCTAGACCCTCAGGTTGGTCAATTTACCCCAATATGGGGTGATAACCATCGTCATGAGAAAATCATGGTTTTAAAATCATAAAATTGTGTGGATTTCTTCTAAAAGATATATAATGCATGATAACACATGACAAACCCATATTCGAACAAACAAAAATGTGATAAAATTCTATAAGAAATCAAGAAACATCGACTTTGGTTTGTTTTGCTTTGACACACCCACATGTTGATCATTGAAAAAAAAACAATTCGACCAACAAGCCTCGGAGAAAAAAGGGGACCCTGAACTTGGTACCAGAATCCGGGGATCTTTTTGAAGTGGCGGTGTTACTACCTTCAGTCTATCCCGTGTTTCTGTCGTGCAAAATAATTTCCAATGTAATAATTATTTGATTTAATGTGTGGTGATTTAATTGGATTTCACGGGATTTAAGTGGCGGTGGCTACCTTCAGTCTATACATCTCTCCTAAACTGGAAATGATTTCGGATAAGTTGGAGAACTTACGAAACGTGTTTTTCAAACAACTCTAAACATCACGCTTCAGTTCTCGGTCGTTGCCACTTCCTAAGTTGGAGGACTCGCCCAGTTGTTCGGGCCCGCCACCATCGAGGACATGAAGATGGGTTTACTCGCAATCTTCCTGGCAGACGAAGGTCACCCCAAAAATCGTAGCCTCTGGGGCTTTGGGACAGTTGGCTATTGAAAATGAGCCATAGAAATAGTTTATCTTAATTAAGAATGGAGATTTTCCAATTCGCAAACTGTTAGTTGACCAGAGGATTTTTAATCTGCGGTCTTAGATCTGCTATGATCTGCTTTCATTGATTTTGTCAGCGACTGGAATCCATGAACATTCTTGTCCTAAAAACCAACAGGCACCGATTTGAAAGTGCACAAAATGATTCCAAAATTGACAAATACCCTCTGATAAACTGTATAACATAACTATGGAAAATCACAATTTTCAATGGGTAAATCCACTATTTCTATGGTCATTTTCCAGTTCGCAAACTTTTAGTCATTACCAGAGGGTATTTGAATGTGGTACCCTCGGAGTCACAAAAAAATGGAGTATACATCACAACAAAATGACAATGATCTTCACAGGTTGGTGGTATACCTACCCCTCCGAAAAATGAGATAGTCAGTTGGGATGATTATTCCCGATATTAATGGAAAAAATAATCCAAATGTTCCAAACCACCAACCAGATGACAAATATCTTTATCATTTGGATATTGAACAGGGACAGGCTACTGTACCACAGTTTTGACTATCCTCATCCCCAAGTACGAATTCACAATGGACTCACCACTTGCTCATCATTTACCTTGGTTCATGGTGAATCTGATTTATATCTGTCAAAAAACCTATTGTTTAGCTGTTTAGTACATTTTACCACAGTTCAAATCTAACCAGTTGACCCAGTTTGAAGGTTTGTGTGCATCCAGATATCAGCAGATACTTCGTATACAAAGGTGATTTCCGCTAAGGTATTTTGTACATATTCCGTGCCGTAGCACAAATCTAAGCATTTTCAACTAGCAGTAGAGCCGCACGAGGTGGAACCAATCACAGCTATACATTCTATACACAGTTTCAAATGTACAGAAGGGTAAGGTATCTTAGATACTTGGTGGCTCATCCCACTTAGTAAGTGGGTTATAACCCCAGTGATTTACATGGGATAAGTAGGGTTAATCCACTTATAACTGGGGTTATAACCCACTTACGAGCCGTGGGATGAGCCACCAAGTAAGGTATCTTAGATATCACATAAGATTTGGGTCTCAAAATCAGGTGCCACCAATTTTGATGATTTTGATGTTTCAAAGATCTTCACTGTCCCTGATGGTACCTGGTCATATCCTGAAATTGTTTCCGCCGTGAAACCAAGAGAGTCGGTCGATTGCATAGTAGTCATTGTATCTTTATATGTGGTATGTGTGTAATTATTTATGGACATATATGTATACAACATATTTGTGTATTTTATATAGATACCATATATGTATGATATATATATATACAGATAGATATTATAGATAATTAGTGTGCATACATTATGATCATTATATTATTTATATATATATATATATGTACGTGAAATATCTATCGACTCCATTCAACTCCCAGCTTTTTTCCACGTCCGCCTGGCCAGGACTTGAAAGGCCATCATGAAACCGCAGTCTCCAGTGATGGCCGACGCACCACGCGCCTATAGGTCGAACCACAAAAACGCGGTCGAAAAACGAGGTGAACATCAGGAGTCAAGTGGCAAGAAATGGGGATATAATGCGAATATCATGGGAATTATGGGAACAATGAATTTGAAAGAATAGTTGAATTGGAAATATAACATGTATATTAATATATATATATAATGATATATTATGTGGATTTTTTTATGGGAAATTGGAAATAGAATGGGACTAAAATGGGTAATTTAATGGGAATTTGGGAATTTCATATGGGAATTCTCAAATCCCCACAGTACTACCTTGAGAATTTGAGGGAGCCTCATCTGGTTGGTGGTATACCTACCCCTCTGAAAAATATGAAAGTCAGTTAGGATTATTATTCCCAATATATGGAAAAATAAAACATGTTCCAAACCACCAACCAGCTCATTTATGGAGCGACTAAAATTACAATATAGATGGGAATATTATGCAAATAAAATGCGAATATAATGGGACATGGGAATATGATGGGAATGTTGGGAATAATGAATTGGAACAAAACTACGAATATACCTAGACCCTTCGTTTGTACCCATAAAAATGGTGGTTTACCCAAACCGTTACTACTATTTTTGGGGGTATATGGAGGGTATAGGTATACAGGAATTATAATGGGAAATGGGAATATCATTGATTTTTCTTTTGCAATAATGGAATGATATCTGTTGAGGAAGCATCAACTGGGAAATGAAAATCATTCAATAGATATCATTAAGTTAAACTAATCAATCAATAGTTCCTCGATATTCCTCAATCATTCAATGATAAACTATTTTTTTCTATAATTATTAGGGCGTATTGAAATAATGGAATAATGGATCAATCCCCACGGATGCAAACACTTCCTTCGAGTGGAATTCTCAGCCCATGTTTGATTGCTAAAGGGTAGCAGTTAGTGGCAAACAACAACAACAACAACAGCAACAACAACAACAACAAACAACAAACAACAAACAACAAACAACAAAAAACAAAAAACAACAAAAAACAACAAAAACAACAACAAACAACAACAACAACAACAACATTAAAAACGCTTTTCGGTGAGGTATTACGTTGGATTGGTTGAAAATGTTGAAGGAAAATCTACAGGAAACGACTAATTGTCCCATTAAATATGAGGCTTTCCTGTAGTTTGTCCCTCGACCAATCCACTGACAATAATCTTACCCCTACAAAACAAACCATGGAAAATAAATACCAGGTCCGGGTCTATGCATCGATATACTCCCCGAAGGCACCAAGCACATATTCACACCGTCTTCTTGCTGCTCCCTGAGATTCTGAAACTTCGGGTGAGATTGTGGTATCCAGTACATCCATCCAATAGAACTAAATACAAATGCACGCAAAGACACATTGATATGCATGTATGCGCACACGTTAAACATATGCAAATCTTGCATACACCTCTACAAATAGAAATCATACAGATACACGTTCGATCACGTTCGTGTTACTCAACAATAACAAGTTTCCATCCCAGTTACCAATCATATTGGGGGTCATAATAAGCACTTATCCGATAAAAAACGGGTCATAATAAACACATTATCCCATAAATAGGGCCAGACACAAATTCATAAAGTCCTCTTCGTAGGATGGTTTACTGTCACTGGTTGGTGGTGCAATAACCATCTTGAAAAATATGAAAGTCAATTATTAGTCAATGGGAAGGATTATCCCATATGTTATGGAAAATAAAAAATGTTTGAACCCACCAACCAGGTCAAATACCTTATTAGAAACAAACCAACCAGGATGTTTCTCAACTTGTGAAGTTGCATCTATAACAAACCCAAACTAAGATTCACCAGTGGTCGATCATCAGCTACGTGCAAGGCGGGACCTTGACGAAATCGCTAAGTCGGCTAAGTCGACAAACATCACTCCAATAACGATGGTGGTTGTCGTAGATGTATCGAACTGGTTCATGTACCATCTGGTTATTTAACATAGCCATGGAAAATCACCATTTTTAATGGGTAAACCCAGGTAAACCATCTATGTATAAATGGGCCATTTTCCATGGCTATGTTAAATAACCAGAGGGTAGTTTACAGGTTAACGTTTTTACATCACGTTTAGGAGCCTCACCTTGCGGTTCGCGCTTGCTGGGGTTGGTTTTTGACTCCACTATATCTACCATGGTTACTAGGATTGCGTTCATCAATTCAGCTATGGTACCGATGGATACAGATGGCCCACTTATAGATGATCTACCTATAAAGGCATTTATTTTTGTGGGGTTGCGACTTGGAAGTGCAGTTCCAGTAAAATTGTGGATATATAATGATATATAGCCATGGCGCTCTAGGGGACCCACATTCGAAGTGGGACATGGTGGTTAACTCATCATGGTTGTAGCCAGTTGGTAAGCCGGTCATGCCCACTTGGATATGCATCCCACTTTAATGGGATTTTATAGTGGTTTAATGGGATTTATAGTGATTTATAGTGATTTATACTGATCCCACCTGGCTCATCGTCCACATATCACCTATTTACGATTCGTGGGCGCGTACCCCCAAGTAATGGTTTAGTCTATTGATGGTCATTATCAATCATTACTCACCATGAAAATCACTATGTTTAACCACTATTAACTATTAACCATTCGTAACCACAACACACACCATTACCCTCTGGCAAACTAACATAGCTATGGGAAATCACCATTCTTCTCATAGGTAGATCAACTATTTCTATGGGCCAATTTCCATAGTTATTTTATGCTACTTTATCAGAGGATATCCCATTGAATCACAATAAATCCCATTAAATCACTATAAATCCCATTAAACCACAATAAAATCCCATTAAATCACTATAAATCCCATTATATAATCACTATAAATCACTATCAATTTCATGAAAGCACTATAAAATCCCATTAAATCCCATTAAATCACTATAAATCCCATTAAACCACTATAAAATCCCATTAAATCCCATTAAATCACTATAAATCCCATTAAACCACTATAAAATCCCATTAAACCACTAGAAAATCCCAGATCAGGCCGGGTTTTTCGGCGAGTCGCCTCAAGGTGCTTGATGGCATCCGCAAAGCGACGCTCCACCAGCTCGGTGAATTGGCCCGACTGACGCGGGAAAAAACGGTGGCTGGCGGGCTTCACCGTGGTTGTACCATGGGGTTTCTAATCTGGTTTGCTGTCAATTTTTTCATCCTGATTGGTGATTGATAGTGATTTAATGGGATTTATAGTGATTCAATGGGATTTTATAGTGATTCAATGGGATATTAATCGGATATACCCTCTGGATCCTGGCAACTACTAGCTAGGGACCCTAGGGATTTTCATTGTAGACCCTCCTCGTGACATGGGGTCTGGAATGAAAAACCCTAGGCGTTAACAAAAGTTGCCTGCAAACATCTCAGACCCTTGCATAGGGACCTGGAACAACTACTATGAGCGAACAGCATGCACAAGGTAACTTCATTGTAGACCCTTCCCCCGTGTGACATCCTGATACATCCTGGAACCCAGCGGTCCAGCACAGCAGGGTTGATGGCAAGCCTTCAGATTCTAGTGGTCCAACTCTCAGATGGCAGGATGGCACAATTTTCACCAGTGATGTCTTTTCTCTTAAGACAGCAGTCATGTGGTTGAGACATGTTGAGACATGTTGGTACCAGTTTGAGTTCTCGGTGGCCACATGTTCTGAATGATTTTTCATGGAGTTGAAGGGTCTGAAATGGTGTTACCCAAGATGTCAGGCATGGTTTCAACCTTGATGGCTCAGGAAACACCATGTCAGACCCTCACATGTAATGCACGCCCCAACTTCAGGTGATGGGAAGCCTTCAGATTCTAGTGGTCCAACTCCCAGATGGCAAGATGGCAAAATGGAAGTTGCAACAATTTTCACCAGCGATGTCTTTTCTCTTAAGACAGCAGTCATGTGGTTGAGACATGTTGAGACATGTTGGTACCAGTTTGAGTTCTCGGTGGCCACATGTTCTGAATGATTTTTCATGGAGTTGAAGGGTCTGAAATGGTGTTACCCAAGATGTCAGGCATGGTTTCAACCTTGATGGCTCAGGAAACACCATGTCAGACCCTCACATGTAATGCACGCCCCAACTTCAGGTGATGGGAAGCCTTCAGATTCTAGTGGTCCAACTCCCAGATGGCAAGGTGGCAAAATGGAAGTTGCAACGATTTTCACCAGCGATGTTTTTCCTCTTAAGACAGCAGTCACGTGGTTGAGACATGTTGAGACATGCTGATACCAGTTTGAGTTCTCGGTGGCCACATGTTCTGAATTTTTTCATGGAGCTGAAGGGTCTGAAATGGTGTTACCCAAGATATCAGGCATGGTTTCAACATTAATGGCTCAGGAAACACCATGTCAGACCCTCCCATGTAATGCACGCCCCAACTTCAGGTGATGGGAAGCCTTTAGATTCTAGTGGTCCAACTCCCAGATGGAAAGGTCGCACAACTTTCACCAGTGATGTCTTTTCTCTTAAGACAGCAGTCACGTGGTTGAGACATGTTGAGACATGTTGAGACATGTTGGTACCAGTTTGAGTTCTCGGTGGCCACATGTTCTGAATGATTTTTCATGGAGTTGAAGGGTCTGAAATGGTGTTACCCAAGATGTCAGGCATGGTTTCAACCTTGATGGCTCAGGAAACACCATGTCAGACCCTCACATGTAATGCACGCCCCAACTTCAGGTGATGGGAAGCCTTCAGATTCTAGTGGTCCAACTCCCAGATGGCAAGGTGGCAAAATGGAAGTTGCAACGATTTTCACCAGCGATGTTTTTTCTTTTAAGACAGCAGTCACGTGGTTGAGACATGTTGAGACATGTTGATACCAGTTTGAGTTCTCGGTGGCCATATGTTCTGAATGATTTTTCATGGAGTTGAAGGGTCTGAAATGGTGTTACCCAAGATGTCAGGCATGGTTTCAACCTTGATGGCTCAGGAAACACCATGTCAGACCCTCCCATGTAATGCACGCCCCAACTTCAGGTGATGGGAAGCCTTTAGATTCTAGTGGTCCAACTCCCAGATGGCAAGATGGCAAAATGGAAGTTGCAACAATTTTCACCACCGATGTCTTTTCTCTTGAGACAGCAGTCATGTGGTTGAGACATGTTGAGACATGTTGGTACCAGTTTGAGTTCTCGGTGGCCACATGTTCTGAATGATCTTTCATCCTTTACATCCCTTCACAGGGTCTAACATGAAGTTCTGTATGACTTAGTCCAAAAGGTCTAGACTGAATTTCCTTCTCTGCTTCCAAGGGTCTGACATGGTACCGGGATAGGGTCTAAACTGAATTCAAGGCATGTCAGACCTTTTGGAAAATGGACCCTAGGTAGACCATGTTAGACCCTCTAGTAGTTGAGAGTATCCCTCTGGTAAACTAACAGTTTGCGAACTGGAAAATTGCCATTGTTAAATAGTGAGTTTTCCCACTAATAGCATGGTGATCTTCCATAGTTTGTTGTATGTTTACCAGAGGGTAATACTAATCTGGTTGGTGGTTGACCTACCCCTCTGAACAATATGACTTCGTCAGTTGGGATGATGACATTCCCAACTGAATGGAAAAATAAAAGCCATGTTCCAAACCACCAATCAGTAATTTATTCATGAAGATTGGAAAATACGCATGTATATTGCATATGTAGATATATATATATATATATCTTTTGTGCGTTAGCTTCATACCTGTAGATCGGTCGGGTCGCCATCTTGTCGACTCCTCGAATTGCCTCGGCAAACTGCTCGGCAAAGTCGCGTTCCACCAACACAAAGTATGGATGATGGTCTGCGGTGAGGAACACGAAAGATACCCAAAAATGGTTTGTCACGTTCTCTTCGGTTGCTAGGTCTGGCATCACATTCCTCTTCAAGTGCTCAACCGCATCAAAGAACTTCTGGGCCTTAGACGTGCCTTTGAAGCTGTTGATGTCAATGACCGTAATCTCGTCGAGCCCATATTGGATGTTAGTCATCCCTCTCGAGTTCGAGCTGCACTTGTACATGAGGTCCGTGATCATGATGGTCTTCCCATACCGGAAGTTCCCTGCCAACATATCCTTTTCTTTTCGTACCAATTCACCTCCATATATATATATACATATATATATATACATATATATATATACATATAATACATAAACACGTGGGATGTCTGTTTGCAAAGCTCCCACTTTTCAGTTCCTTGGATCCTGAAATTGCTAGCTGCATGGCGGCCACTTCTGACCGAAGCATCCAGCGGCTTTGGTCTTTGAAGACTCGACATGATAATCAGATATGGAAGAAAAACGACATCAGCTAGGTTCTCTCAATGAAGCCAGAAAGCCCGACCAGTTGCAAGAATTCCAGCATCCCAATTCCATGCCCCTGCATGGTTAATATCTTTTTCACTGTCCGTAAAAACCAACATCCACATGACGATCTTCGAATCAGCCATCATCATCGGTGTCTTCTTGGGAACTTGAGCTGGGGCCAAAAATTGGTCTTTGATGGGAGTTTACTACTGGGAGTAAGGCTTGCCATCTGGTTATTTAACATAGCGAACTAGAAAATCCCTTATAAATGGAAGTTTCTTACTGGGAAAATCATTTGTAAATGGGTTATTTTCCATAGCTATGTTAAATAACGAGAGGGTACTTTCATTGCCGCCCAAATGCTCCCCGATTCATCAACCGGTGAATTCTGTTGGGGTACTGTTCTTCATGAGTGGAATCATCACTATTTTGGGGACCCCGACTTGACTCACCCAATTAGGCAGCTTTGATATTTCTTTAGTTTAATGACCAAAATAACTAAAATAACTGTTTGGCCCTTATAAATATAGTAAACTATATTGTAAATTTAGCATAATATAGTATAATAATCGTGTGATAAATATGACCACCCAATCTAGTTTATAACATATCATGGGAGGTTCGTATTGAAGACAATCGTTCATATTCATCATCCCATCCCACAAATAAATCGTGGGTGATCATTATTGGGTCAACAATCTACCCAAAACAAATTGGGACTCACCCATGAACGTTGGTATTTACTCCAACAGTTTAGCACTTTTACACCCAATGTTTATGGGTCAACTACAAGGTGCCCAGTGATGTTTGCTGGTTCATAACATCAAGCGTAATCTGGATATATCGAGCACAAACCCTGCTGATATCAAATATAAATAAGCAACTTAGCTACTTATGCTGCTTGGAGTGCAAAAATATTCAACCCATTTATCCTCTGGTAATCAAACATGGCAACGTAAATTTATTGTTTTATAGATGATTTTCCTTGCTAGACACCTCCATTTTTGGGGGATTTCCCAGCCAGCCACGTTTGAAGACACCGTGATGGGTAAATCATCATAATTCCTTATTGTTGAAAAAACTGAACATCACTGGACATACTTGGAAGATCATACAATTTTATAATTGGCTAGTATGCCAATCTTAGATACCCTCCAAAAAAAAACTTAGCTGGGAAATGTAGATATTCCTACTGAAGTCGCAATCCAGATTATTCAGGATTTAACTAGCCATCCAGTTAACGTTGAGCCATCATTTAACTAATATAAACCATTATCACTATCTTCGACAATAAAAGACATTATCAGCTATAATTAACCCGTATTAGCTAACCTAATCATAATCCAATCATTAAAACGTCAACCATTATTATTGATGCATAACCATGTATTAAACAACAGTTACCCTCCAGTAAACTAACAGTTTGCTATGGAAAATCACCATTGTTAAGTTCGGTCAATCATCTATTTCTATGGGCCATGGCTCCCATAGCAAACTGCTAGTTTCCCAAAGGGTAACTGTGAGTAACCATGAATACAATATCAATAATAAACCATCCCCCAAATCACCATAAATGGATGGTATAAACCATGCCCAAATGGGTTGTTTATCATTGTTTCACCCACATTAATCCACTAACTATGGTTGTCTTTATCACTTTGCCTTGGCGTTTTTGAAAACACCGCGTTGCGGCAGGCCTGGCACATTTCAAAGGTGAGCCCCGGCACGCAACGATAGTAGACGTCGTAGCCAAAGCTCCCTGGGATTCGTAGGACGTCAACGGAGATGGCGTTGTAAACGTCGCAACGGATGGTGAGAACCCAAGGAAAATCAATCATATATAAAGGTTAGACAATACTGTAGTATATGGTTATATTTAATATTAACATATATAGTAATATATTAATATTAAAAGATTGATATATGAAAATATTCATTGATATATATATATATAATCCCTAATTGTTGTTGAATGTTGTATAAAAAAAATCAACTAACCATCAACCAAACCCGGTTTTGAGCAGTGGACTGGTCAAGTCGATCATTTTCCTTGTAACAAACCCCACATGGATATATTGACATATACTGGTTGGTGGTATACCTACCCCTCTGAAAAATATGAGTTCGTCAGTTGGGATGATGACATTCCCAATATTAATGAGCAAATAATCCTAATAATCCAAACCACCAACCAGATATCAACGCAGCTCAGCAATTAGTGATATCAATGATGAATTCATGTGGTAAACAATGGTAAACCCAACAGTCGATTAACCCGAAAAATTCACCACCAGATTCATGTGGTAAAAATGTCATCCCGCATAGGTGCAATAAACCAAGTGATGCGATGATGCAGATGCTTGATGATGGTTTATATATGTTGATCTATAATGGTTGATGCATTGGTGCATACGAAAAAAAAAAAGCTATCATCAAGCATCATCAACCCCCTTGGTGCTTTTTCCATGATTTACCACCATGGATTACCAAGCCCATGAACATCATCAACCATCATCAACCATCATCAACCCCCCTCATCAAAACACCTAAAATTGGGTTTATCACCATGGACTTTTGGGGCAAAGCCACAGCCACAGCAGATCGAGTTGTTTCCGACCCCCAAACGACCCTTCGGAGACCTTTCTGGGCGGTTAAATCACCATAAAATGACGATAGTTACTACAATGTGGGGCCCCCAGACGATAGCGGTCCAGTGCCAATAAGTCCAATAACTATGGTTGATTCTACGCAAATAACGAACATAGTATTCATGGGGTAAATCTAAACCAACATTCACATCACTGGGGGGGGGCACCACATTGTAGAAAACTAAAAAAAACATAGATTCTGTTCATTGAAGATGATGACTGCTCTCCCAAAAACAAAAACACCCCAATTGCATGGTTTCAATGGAATGTGCAAATTCCCTCCATCCACCATGGTTTCGTCAAGGGTGGGTGTTTCATATTAGGAGGATGGGATTTTGCTCATGAACGAGTGGAGTTGGGGTTCAATTTTTGGACAAATCCAGATTGGGGTATATCTGGCTGACTCCTTAATGGCCATGCAACAGGAACCAATTTACATAAGGTCTATTTTTGAGTTTGCTTGCGTTTTGCAAAAAGGCACGACTTCCAGGGAAAGCTTCGACGCCACTAAATGTAGTCATTTCTTTAAAAAAGGAACGACTTTGTCTTTTGGCTGTAAATGTCAGGGAACATCACCACAAAATATGCCCAAGAATATGGTACAGTCGCTCCATTTTATCCTGAAATTCCCACTGAAATTCTGATAATTCGCTGAACAACCCGGTAAGGTGGCTACTTGGTGGCTCATCCCACTTAGCAAAATGGGATAAGTAGGGTTAATCCACTTATAACTGGGGTTATAACCCACTTACTAAGTGGGATGAGCCTCCAAGTACTGTAGTCAAGATTCTTTTAGTTACAAGCTCCATGTCGGAAAAAAACATCACATGGGGATGGATCAAGTGAATCAACATCCATCCAGCGACTTGGCGACTTGATCTTGTTTTTTGTACAACTCGTGGGGCCACCAAATGTGATGTGAATGATGGTTTAGATTTACCCCATGAATACTAGTTTGTTATAGGTACCATAAACCATAGTGACATTGGAGTTATGAACGCACCAACTGAACGCTATCGAACGAACCATAGTGACATTGGAGTTATTTGCACCAACTGAACGCAATTTCGTCGTTTGGGGGCCCAGATCTTTGTACCATCGGGGTCGACGAAAATCTCTCAGTCCACAACGGCCTGGATGATCAGAATCCCCGGGCGCAGGAGGATACTCGTAATCTAAGCGCACCACACCCAGCGCCGGATGCCTGGAGCTGACATGCGCTGACCATCCGTTCACCAGGTGTTTTTCAGCGACTTGGTGGGGTTCGCCACCAGGTGAATTCGAGGTGAAATCTCTCGAGTTTTTTGGTGGGAGAAGTATTTTCATGTATTTTCCACTGAAATCACTGGGGTGAATTAACCTACTTAGGATTCGTGGGATGAACCATGAAGAAGGCTAGCGAATGGGTCTGAAGGGTTCTTGTTTGTCGAATGGGTGGAAATAAATCTGCTTCTGACTTCGGGGCACCACTGTGATTGAGTGTGATTGAGTGTCTGTAACTTATACGTTATAAACGCAATGGGGAGATTGAAACCGCGACATGCCTGAAGTGAAATAATTTGTGACTGCACAGCGGTTGTACCACCCAGCACTCCAGGACCCAAAAATATGCAAGTTACATGGGGTTTGTCCTTCTTAATGTGGTAAACCCAATGCCACAAGCGGTTTATCACTGGGTTTTTCACCCTGTTTGGGATGATATGAAATGCCCCCCCAGTCATGGTTGGTCAATGGTTTATGTTTTTTCATGGGGTTTACCACATTTTACCACATTATTTGTTGCCAAATAGCGTTCCGATATGGAACACATAGAGTTTTCAGAGATCTTCCCGATTCCAGAGCAGTTTGCAGAGCATGTTCCTCCTGGTTGGATAAGTCGACATGTTTGATGGTACCAGATAAATTACAGTTTACCCTCTGGTAAACATACAAAAAGCTATTGAAAATGGCCATTTATAGTGAGTTTTCCCATTAAAAATGGTGATGTTCCATAGTTATGTTAATTTACCAGAGGGTATACATTTTAGACCTTTTACTCCATTTTGGATTGATCGAATCCTCCCGTTCTCCAGTTGTTATATATGTGTCCCCCTTTTTGGTGATCAAATCCCAATTTTCCCCCCAATTTTCTGATCAAATCCGGGTCTATAGATGGTGTAGAAACCTACTGGCTCCATTTTAGCGCGTTTGACGTTGCCAAACATCCTGCCCCGGCAGCCTCTTCAAGTTTTTTTCAGCTCCGTTGGTCGCATTCTGTCCTGACTGCTTCGGCCATGGAGATTTGAAAAGGCCACCAAAATTCATAGCATGCCAAATCCCAGCTGGTTGGAGGTATACCCTCTGGTAAACTAACGAAACTGTGGAAAATCACAATTTCTAATGGGAAAACTCATTATAAATGGCCATGTTCAATAGCTATGTTAAATTACCAGAGGGTACCTACCCCTCTGAAGAATATGAGTGCGTCAGTTGGGATGATGACATTCCCAACTGAATGGAAAATTCATCCAGCCATGTTCCAGTCACCACCAACCAGCCAATAGATTGTCCATTTCAAAGGACCAACAAAAATGTTGATCACCATATGGATATCCATGATGATCCCAGAATCTCAGGTAGTTCATCCCCATTGCAGTCGATCTTTCAGCTGGGTCGATTTCCCCCCCCAAAAAAAGAACCCTCCCGTTTTTTTCAAACCATAGCCTCAATTGGAAATCACCCATTTATAGATCATTCTCCCAGCTAGAGACCCCCATTTATAGAGGATATTCCATTGTCGCCACTGAGATGATATAGATCTTCACACATTTCTAGTCTCCACCATGAATCCATTGCCATTGCCGGGAAATAAACCATGTTAGCAAAAAAAACAATTGGTGTTGCTTAAATCTCACTTGTTCTTGGGCAAATCCAATTGTTTTTTGTTATGGGTGAAATCGCGCAAGTTCCCCCATGTTTGATGGTCAAATCCAAGACATGACGAATCAAGATGTAAATCTGCATAAATCAAGGTCACTGGCCATGTCAGGAACCTAAATTGGAGGTACCTACCATATATAAGGCCTATATAAGGCCTATGTAATGGAATATCCCAGCAAAATATGGCCTTATATGGTACAGTACCTCCATTTTAGGATCCTGGAATTCCCATTGAAGATCTCTCACCTGAAACTTGCAGCCAGCTATGGGGATGATTCCCCACTAATTACACATTCACCATAATATATCCTCATCCACACTATGTATATCCTATCAAGAAACACCATTTCAGTTTTTGGAGTTATATTCACCAACTTAGCGTTCACGAAGAATTAACTTCTGTACCTAAGGTCATATACTATGAAATAATCCCATTTATAACTGGGTATAGGGTTATAAGTTATAACCATAGAATCCCAAGCATAAATTGGTGCCTCATCCCACTTACTAAGTAGGTTATGTTCCTGTTTTTTTTTGCAGTGGGATAAGTAGGGTATTTCCCACTTATAACTAGGGTGAACTATGCTTAACTAAGGATTCGTGGGTAGTTCTCCACCAAGTTGTAAGCCATCAATAGATGGGACAAGCCACTTAGACTTTCTATCCAGGCTTACAAAAGCCAATTACCAAGTGCTATGATCCTCCATATTAACCTCCAATATCTCCAGTGATGTTCAGTTTTTTCGCCAAAAATAAGGAATCATACAAGGTGGTGCCCCCAAGATAGCGTTCAGTTGGTTTATAACTCCAATAACTATGGTTTATAGGTGATATATCTTGGTGAATTATAATAATTCACTAACCTGAAATGTTCGGCTATCTTGGGGATGATTCCCCTTACTAACAATGATTCCAGTGAGGGGGAACAGTGAGGTCGTTATAATTTACCCAAATATATCCATAGTCAATGGTGGCTCTATAAACCAATTTATAACTTGGGGGCACCACCTCGTACGAATCGTAAATCAACTGAGCAGTGTGCTATCATTCCATTCAATCCTGGTTGGTTTAGTTTAGGATTCCCCGCTCTTGGATGATTGGAATCCCCAATATGTTGGGTAGTACAATCTCCAAACTAATCATCAACCGACCATCATTTATCAGTTATGTTCACTAATATCCCCATATTTTCATGGTTAAAATATCCCATCTAAATTACCATAATCATCAACCAACAGGCGTTTAGCAGCCACTGCTCAACTGATCATAGCCACGACATTTCTGCAAGCGTCTCATCGCAATGATCAAATCTTCATGCGCTTTCAGCAGGTGCGCCTTGAACGAAGACGAGAACACACTGAGACGTGTCGCGGTACAATGGATGGATGTGCCAACCAAGAATAGTGGGAATATAACGTATAAAACCAACAATATGGCTGAATCACATATGTATATATATATATACACAGAATATGTATGTGTATATATATATACATATAGTGAATATAATGCATATTATATATATATATTATAATCCACTAACCTAAAAAGAACTGAAATAAGGCCATTTAGGAATGATCCCCTTATACATTCACCATCATTCCAGTGATATACATGGTGTGGTCATCCAGTAGTGGGATACCATACTTCTGAAGGGTTGATCTAAATCCCGAAAAACGAAAACGATGACCATCCTGGACCATCCTCTTTAAATGGAGATTTCCTGAAATTCTGCTACTCCCAAATCATCCGAATCTTTAGGATTTTTCGATTATATCATATATCCATGAATTGGGGTACCCTCTGGTAATTTAACAGTTCGCTATTGAAAATGGCCCAGTCGACATAGTGAGTTTTCCCACAAAAAAATGGTGATTTTCCATAGTTTTTTTGGTATGTTTACCAGAGGGTACCCTATTTATGGAACCTCTCCATATGGCCTCGTTCAATCCAACTGAAGAAAGGCACATCAAAACCCTGAAAATCTGACGACTTGTTCGGCGGGGATGCCCAGGATTCACCAAGGGGGGTCTGATGGCAGCTCCTGGGGTCCTGGGTCAGCGACCCCAAAAAAGAGCGAAACAACCACTTCTGGTGGTGAAATGTGGTGAACATGTGGTTTGTTTTGATTCGATGCTCGTTGACTTTCTATCCCAAAATTGGGAACTTCTACACTTAGCTAACTAGGGGGCATCACTATGTCTTCTTTGGAGTAGTCATACCCTAAGCCCTAAGCTTTCCTAAGCCTTCCAGATGGGCTTGGGAAATGACAACAGCCAACGTAAACGGCACCAGTTCACCATTGCCAAAGATCCACGGTGAAATCCCCGTTTGCGAAATTGCTAAGTTGATAACTCTAATCATCTCCATTTTTTTAGAAATCTGGTTTATGGTATAATTACATATATATATCTATTATTCTATATATATATACATATGAATATATATATATTGTATATATATATATTGTATATATATATATATATATTCATATATATATATTATATTCATATATTATATATATTATGTATATTGACATCTGAAATTCAGGGCTATGTCAAACCAAGTCTTTGAAACGAAACAGGACCATTTCGCGGATCATCCCATAGAGACACCCAGCGGTTCTCGTTTCACCCAGCGACGATGCTGGTGGTTTTTCGCCTACCCCTCTGGTGGTTGGTATAGCGATAGTGATTTATAGTGATTTACTTGGATTTTATAGTGATTCAATGGGATTTTATAGTGATTTACTGGGATTTTATAGTGATTCAATGGGATTTTATAGTGATTTACTGGGATTTTATAGTGATTCAATGGGATTTTATAGTGATTTACTGGGATTTTATAGTGATTCAATGGGATTTTATAGTGATTTACTGGGATTTTATAGTGATTCGATGGGATTTTATAGTGATTTATTTGGATTTTATAGTGATTCAAATGGATTTTATAGTGATTTACTGGGATTTTATAGTGATTCAATGGGATTGTATAGTGATTTATTGGGATTTTATAGTGATTCAATGGGATTTTATAGTGATTTATTGGGATTTTATAGTGATTCAATGGGATTGTATAGTGATTTATTGGGATTTTATAGTGATTCAATGGGATTGTATAGTGATTTATTGGGATTTTATAGTGATTCAATGGGATTTTATAGTGATTTATTGGGATTTTATAGTGATTCAATGGGATTTTATAGTGATTTATTGGGATTTTATAGTGATTCAATGGGATTTTATGGTGATTTATTGGGATTTTATAGTGATTCAATGGGATTTTATAGTGATTTATTGGGATTTTATAGTGATTCAATGGGATTGTATAGTGATTTATTGGGATTTTATAGTGATTCAATGGGATTTTATAGTGATTTATTGGGATTTTATAGTGATTCAATGGGATTTTATAGTGATTTATAAGGATTTTATAGTGATTCAATGGGATTTTATAGTGATTTATTGGTTTTTTTTGTGATTCAATGGGATTTTATAGTGATTTATTGGGATTTTATAGTGATTCAATGGGATTTTATAGTGATTTAATGGGATTTATAGAGATTTACTGGGATTTATAGTGATTCAATGGGATCTTAATGAGATCTTAATGGGATATACCCTCTGGTAAACATACAAAAGACCATGGAAAATCACCATTTTTTAATGGGAAAACTCACTATGTCGACTGGGCCATTTTCAATAGCGAACTGTTAAATTACCAGAGGGTACCTGCCCCTCTGAAGAATATGAAAGTCAGTTGAGATGATGACATTCCCAACTGAATGGAACAATTAAATTCATGTTCCAAACCACCAACCAGGTATGCTTCAGCCTTTTTTAATGGAATAAGCCCACTGAATTATTTGTAAATCATGACTATAGTGACTAATCATTGTAAAATCCCATTAAATCACTATAAATCCCATTGAATCACTATAAATCACTATGTGAATTATCATGATACTATGGTTATTCACGCATTCTTCACTAATTGAATGGAGACGTTACTCACCAGCGGTTGATGGTCCGATACTCCGATTGCCATTTTTCGTCGAGGTCGAATCCAGATATATCCAATTTCCAAGCATCCCCCCAAAAAAAACAAACAAACAACCATCATTTCTGTTGGTTATATCAAGTTATATCTCGTTTTGATGGGAAAATCAATGGTTCTTTATGGTTCTTCTAAATCTTCATGAGATTTCTAGAAAAGATCTGGTAAAATTTTATCTAATATGTTTACCTTCTGATAAATTAACATAGACCCTGGCAGATAGGAGTTGGAAGATTAGTTTCCATTAAAAATTGGTTATTTTCAAGGTCTATGCTTATTTACCAGAGGGTAATATGTCTCAAACCAGACTTCGGCCATTTTTTTTGGATAACCCCCCCCAATCCAGAGCATCACCTATGGTGAGGTCATGGCTAGCATCAGCATCTGGTATGTGGTGACGAAACGTGGGATTAGGGGAAGATCACCTTCAAAAATGGTGGTTTAATGTAATAGATATGAACAATGTCTAATGTCTGTCCTTTTGGTAAAAATAGAGGGGCCGGTTGGGTATACCATCTATCATCATTTACCTCTTGTTGAAGGGGTTTCTTCAACCCCCTCTTTTTTCATCAACCAACCAATGGGAATTTGGGACATCTATGGATATGAATTTGAGTCACTTCATGGAATGTTCTCCATGGCCGGATAGGTACGGATAGGTCATCAGCCAAGTCACATGTTCGTTTCTCAGCTCATTGTGAGAATCGACCAGCTCTTGGTGGAGCGTTTGTAGCTCCTCAGGCGATTCGTAGGTTGAATCTCTTTTGGGAGAAGTTACTAAGTAGGCTTAATCCACTAAGAACCTGGCTTATCTATTAAGTGGGATGAATCACCATTGATTGATTGTCATGGTAATCAGATGTAATCAGACAATGAAATCATTCAAAAGGGTGGATTGTAAATCAGCCTTATGTTCATGGATTACTAATTATATCAACATGTTCCAGTTTATGGAACCAAAAAACAACACCATTTGATAGCGACTCCACAAATCGTCCTTGAAACTTCCCATTGTGATGCTTCACATGTTCCATGGCTATAAAAACTGTGGCTATGTTTACCCTCCGTTTTAAGTCGTTATGGAAAATGGTTCATTTGCGGATGATTTACCGAAAAATGTACCTATTAAAGGTGACTATGTTGATATTTATGTGGTTCGATGATGATTACACATCATGGTATCATCATCATACGTTCATAAAATTTCACAAATATATATATATATATGTCCGTATGATATTTAAACATATCATGATTAATCCATCACATCATGGTATGGGAATATGTGCAAATATGATATGTATTGCCAATGTTTGTTGGGTCAACTCAGATTCGGTGCTGAAAAAATCCTGTCAATGTTTGAATCGGTGAAGACGGTAAGACGTGACGCTTTCGTGAGCCCATGCCCAATCTTGGAGACCCTGCAAATATCTATACTTTATTGTATCTATATACAATATGTCCATGTAATTACATAAGTATACCTGGTTGGTTGTTTTAACCATCTTGAAAAATGTGAAAGTCAATGGGAAGGATGACAACCCATATATTATGAAAAATAAAAAATGCTTGAAACCACCAACCAAATACGTATACGTATGTGTATCTCATTGTACATAATCGTACATTACCCAATACATACATACTCCGGTTGATATATCCCCATGAAGACGGCAAAAAAACATGCAAAAGTTTTCGAATAATAGAATCATACCATCAGCTCTCCCAAAAAGATGGCTCAACCCCTCCAGAATTCCGGTTTGCCTCGCAGGTCACATGCCATTTCATTTGTCCCTAAATCAGAGGTACCTACCATATTCATCCATATTCAAGGTCTAAGTCTATCTTCAGGTGTATTCTTCAGCTCACCCATCTCTACCCCCAAAAAATATGGCTTTCATACCCCCAACATACGGTGGTTGCGAAATCCTGCGCCAGTTGATGGTTTGTCCCATTATAGTCCCATGAAAATTAGAGTGTTTCATAGGAATCCCAATAGCTACAAGGTGGTGCCCCCCCAGTTATAAGATGGTTCATAAGCCCCATTAATTATAGTTATAGGTACCACAAACCATAGTTATTGGAGTTATAAACCAACTGAACGCTAACGAACTGGGGCACCACCTTGTAGGAATCCCAATAGCTACCAAAAATCCAAAATACACCAGTTGAATCCAGCGGTTCATGATAGAAATGAGGCTTCGAAATCCCATCCTTTCGGTGGTGATTTCGGTGTCGCCCACCTTGAAATCTTCTTCCTCCATCTCAAAGCCATCTTGCGGCGGCCTGGGCCAATGGCCCATGCCGCAGCATGGCCAAAGTGCTGGGAAAAAGTTTTAACACGCCATGATTGGTGTATATATATATGGGTATGGATCAATAACTATTAATACCATTTTTAGGGGAATGAACATCCATTTACCAGCTATTTTGATGTTCACCAGGGGTACAAGGTTTTGACACACTGCCATATATATATATTGTGATTTTCCCATTTAAGGGTCCTCCACTTGCAGGTGCATGTCCATTGGGCAAACTCTATCTATCCAGAGTACATTTACATTTATACAAGAATACAATATAAAGGTGTATATATATATATGTATATATACATACAATCATATACATACATATCTATACATTTACTTATACATACATAGACATATGACATATGCATATACGCATGTAATTCAAGTATATGTATATTACCATAAGAAGGGTCTTGTCAACCACGGGGGTTTTGTTGTCTATATACATCTTGGTTGGTGATTGATAGTGATTTAATGGGATTTTATAGTGATTCAATGGGATTTTATGGTGATTTAATGGGATCTTAATGGGATTTTATAGTGATTTACTGGGATTTTATAGTGATTTAATGGGATCTTAGTGGGATTTAATGGGATTTTATAGTGATTTATTGGTTTTTTTTGTGATTCAATGGGATTTTATAGTGATTTATTTGGATTTTATAGTGATTCAATGGGATTTTATAGTGATTTATTGTGTTTTTATAGTGATTCAATGGGATTTTAGAGTGATTTATTGGGATTTTATAGTGATTCAATGGGATTTTATAGTGATTTATTGGGATTTTATAGTGATTCAATGGGATTTTATAGTAATTTATTGGGATTTTATAGTGATTCAATGGGATTTTATGGTGATTTATTGGGATTTTATAGTGATTCAATGGGATTTTATAGTGATTTATGGGATTTTATAGTGATTCAATGGGATTTATAGTGATTTATTGGGATTTTATAGTGATTCAATGGGATTTTATAGTGATTTATTGGGATTTTATAGTGATTAATGGGATTTTATAGTGATTTAAAGGATCTTATAGTGATTTAATGGGACTTTAAGTGATTTAATGGGATTGTATAGTGATTTAATGGGATATTAATGGGATATAACCTCTGGTAAACTAACAGTTTGCTATTGAAAATGGCCATTGAAATAGTGGATTTACCCATCAAAAAATTGTGATTTTCCATAGTTTTATTAGTATTACTATACTATACTATACGATACGATACTATACTATACTATGCTATGCTATACTATACTATTCTATACTATACATACATGATATATATATATATACATATTACTTTATTAGTATTATTTTGTTATCTATTTATTATTACTATAGATTATTGATATCATTATTATATACATATATATATATACAGATACATAAAGTGAGAATAGGGATGGAACCTGTGGTAATCCAACAGGTTTCTATGGAAAATGGCCTGTGAAAGTAGATGGTTTTCCATAGCTATGTAAACGATTACCAGAGGGTATATTGACTCAAATCAAAAAATAAAACACATAATTACCCCATAAAAAGTCCTATTCATATTCAATTGATTTCCCGTGATTCTTCCATATTTTCCCATCACTATTCCTACCCTCTGGTAAACATACAAAAAACTATTGAACATCACAATTTTCAATGGCAAAATCCACCTATAAATGGTAATTTTCAATAGCAAACTGCTAAATTACCAGAGGGTATATCCCATTAATCTCCCATTGAATCACTATAAAATCCCATTAAATCATTATAATCCCATTAAATCACTATAAAATCCCATTAAATCACTATAAAATCCCATTAAATGATCCACAAAAAGTGCCAAGTGGCGGGTGAACGAAGCTGGGCTTATTGAGGTGCTGTGGCGGCATCGGTAGCAAGCGAGGCGTCCTTAGATACCCAGAAAGTTCACCAGTTTGACCCAGTTATCATTAACTATAGATATATCACCTATAAACCATAGTTATTGGTTTATTGGTTTATAAATTGGTGTTATATCACCTATAAACCATAGTTATTGGAAAGTTATATGAATCATATATGATTCTCAACTGTTCCATCATTAAAACATAGGGTTTCTTCTGGGGTTTAACATCATATATAAAACATATTAACATATAAAACAGGGTTTCTATGGGTTTCTTCTGGGGGATCTGTGGTCGTCACCATGGCTTAAGCTTGTCATGGAGGATTTGGGATCCCCCATGACTTAGGAAATCGGTGCCCGCGTTGACGAAATTGCGTGAAGAACTGGCGCGTTCATAACTCCAATGTCACTATGGTTTTTGCTGGTGATATAACACCAATTTATAAACCAATAAACCAATGTCACTATGGTTTATAGGTGATATATCTATAGTTAATGGTGTTTATAGGTGATATATCTATAGTTAATGGGGTTTATAAACCAATTTATAACGTTTGGGGGGCACCACCTTGTAGGAAACTCCCAGTTTTTAAATATAATGTCAGCCCCGGATGAGACTAAACCATGGTTTATGAAAATTATAGTGGTACTCCCCAAATAGTCATTTCATCTAAGAATCTAATACTTAAATGGTAGCCTCCCAATTAAACAGCCGTTTGGGGTTTATTAATCCAGGGTTGACATTAGGTATCCTAAGATCATTCATGATGATCCTAAGATAATTCATAGGGTATTATCCTATTGGTATCCAATGAGTATTCCATTCTGGCCGGAGGGATCCCACATCAACCAGTGCGAAGTTGACGAACCAATAGGACTAACTTGCCATCATGTGCGACTATTGTAGTAGGACTATATATTATCCCATCATGATCCATGATTCTTCCACTATTCTCCCATATCAATCCATATGATCCCATATAAACCCATATTAACTTGTCACACCAAGATTCATCCCCTGCATCCCTGTCAGGCCCATGGGGCCCATGGGAGGAAGTGGTGACGGAAGTGGTGATAACGGTGGCACCCAGCGAGGGCTCGCCAGAGCCAGCCTCGGTGACTCAGAGCAGCGAGGGGAAAAGCCAGCTGTGTCTGGTTGGTGGTTGATTAATGATGGTTAATGATAAGGATGATACAACTTAATCACTAACTAAACTAACTAACATGAAACACTAACAATGGTTGATAATGGTGGTTTTTCGCCTACCATTGGTTGGTTTTATATACTGTTAATCCCTAAGGATCCATGGTGCTGGAATTTACCTACATTGGGATTATTTTAAATTACTTGAGGGGTCATTTTTAGGGTAAATATTCCATACATGGATCATCCTCTGGGAATAATGGTTAATGATGATGGTTAATGATGGTTATATAATCATAATCTGGTTGGTGGTTTTTCGCCCTACCCCTCTGAAAAATGATGGAGTGAGTTCGTCAGTTGGGATTATGACATTCCCAAGTGAATGGAAAAATCATCCAAATGTTCCAGTCACCACCAACCAGGCGTAGATTTGTTTTAGATCAAAAATTCATGAAAAAAGGGCCAGGGGTCGTATTTCATGATATATATAAATCGACATATCAGCTACCCTCTGGTAATTTAACATAGCTATGGAAAATCACCATTTTTCATGGGAAAACTCACTATTTCAATGGCCATTTTCAATAGCAAACTGTTAGTTTACCAGAGGGTATCAGCTATCAGCAAGCTTCCTTTCTGAAATCTTTGAGGCTTCTTGGGGGGATCGGACATGGAATCCTTCATACAGTCACATGATGTGCTTCACATCATGATAAAGGACCGCTTAGCATGGCCTTCCCTAAAAATATTCACGCCCCAAATAAAAAATCACAGGTGGAGTCACACACAAAAGTCTTGACTCTTACTGAAAAATCCGCTGTTTCACTTCCTAGCTACTTCACTTGATGTTGTGAAGATGATGTTGTGAACATGATGTTGTGACATAGATAAGGAAGCACGACCCTTGGAACATATCTAGGAGGCAAGGACGGCAATTTTCACAAAAAACAGAAAAAGGATCTAAAGAATCTAAAGCAACGTACATATCACTGGTTGGTGGTTTCATCCCCTCTGAAAAATCATGGAGTTCATCACTTGGGATTATGAAATCCCCAACTGAATGGAAAGTCAGAATCCATTCCATGGTTCCAGTCACCACCAACCATTTTTTCAGTCCATATTAAGATATATTAAGTCCCATAAAAACCCATATTAAGTCCCTATTGATGGGAAAATTCCCATGGTGACTGAGTCACCAGTCGCAGATCCGAATTTTCGGGGCCCTCGGAAGGCCCCGAACGAAAATTTCATGGGGATGATCCCATTTACTCATGACGGGACCCATGGTTTTTAAGTCTGGAAATGTTATGTTTATGTGAGCTATGGTCAATACTCATGGTTAATAACCATAAATAGGGGCTAGTCATCCAATGGTTCATAGGTATTTATAATAACCATTATAAGGATCCTTATTATGGATGGGATGACCATCAACCACATAGTGAGTATTGACCATGGCTCATGTAATATGTAAAGTTATCATACAAGGTGGTGCCCCCAGTCGATAGCGTGAAGAACTGGTGCGTTCATAACTCCAATGTCACGTGTTGGTTTATAGGCGATATAGGTAAATTATAATGATTCACTAACCTGAAATGTTCTGCTATCTTGGGGATGATTCCCTTATAAAAACCATGATTCCAGTGAGGATGGTGCCCGCAAGTTATGTTTGTTGGTTCAGATTTACCCCATGAAAACATCCATTAACTAGCTCGTTATATCTACCATAAACCATAGAATTCAGCCACTTTTTTTAGGCAACTGAACGCTATCTTGGGGAATCTTGGAGGCCCCATCCTGTAATTAATTACCCTCTGGTAAATTGATATTGACCCTGGCAGATAGGGATTGGAAGACTAGTTTCCACTAAAAATTGGCTACGACCTTCAAGAGAGGACATGCTGCTGAACCAATCTCTGAGAGTCCGTCGCCAGATGGCGAAAACATCTGGTCGTTTTGAAAAGTCCCGGGAAAACCCTGGGATTGCGCTACACTGATTTTTCAACTTATTATAACTCCTGGTGTGGGCCCAAAATTTGCAACCGTAAGCTTGGATAGTTTATACTATAAACATCATCAAAACTAAACTGGTTGGTGGTTTCAACCTCTGAAAAATATTAATTAGTCAGTTGGGATGATTATTCCCAATATATATATATAATATATATATATATGTATATAGAAAAAAATGTTCCAAACCACCAACCAGATAAACATCATCAAAACTAAAGATACGTGGTCCTTTTGGCAACCTTTGACCCAAACCCTGTCCCCCTACGGGTCCATCAGTGAACCAACAGCTGCCGGAAACTCGCAGAAATGGGCCGAAAAATGCCCTAAAAATGGCAGGTTCCTAATGTTTGTTGGTGATATATAGGCACATATTCTTGGTATATCTTGTTTTTGAGATGACTATATAAAAACATGTTCCTGTATCTCAAACATGTATATCAAACACATTTGGGATATATTATATTTGGTGATATTCCAATACATGTTATATGTTTCATTGTTTTTTGGCACAAATCATCCCAATCCTGCTCTCAAAAAAAATCTTCGGGATGATTCCCCCTAAGATTCGTGGTTGCTTTTTTCTTACCCTCTGGTAAACTAACATAGCTATGGAAAATAACAATTTTTAATGGGAAAAGTCACTATTTCAATGGCCATTTTCAATAGCAAACTGTTAGTTTACCAGAGGGTACCCTTCGCATCTCGACTTATCACAACCCAGCTGCTGGTTGGCTCTCAGGTTTTGTACTTCTAATTCCAGCAGATTCAATCGGTGATCCATTGGCAGCATGGCTATGGCCAGGGGGTGCTGGACACCGTGGCGACTTACCTGGCTTGATCACCTGGTTTTGGTCATTGGAAACTGTTCCAAGGGTGGTCACCTAGCGAGCCAAACCATGGTCACTTTTGAACTGTCTTGTTGTTCATGGTTTCCCCCGGGCAGTGGGACAGAGACCTTCTCAGTGGGAAGATTCGGTAAACACATCCCATATGACCACAGGACGCGTTCGTCGATGAGCCAAAGGCTTTCGGAAGCATTTGTGGGGCGTTTAACCAAGGCCTTTACCTATGCCGTTTATTGCCATTCCCCAAATGCCAAAATGGGTTCATCAGATTCATCAGATTCATCAGATTCATCAGATTCATAGAATCCAGATTGTGCTGAGTCCCAGTCCGTTCTCAATACATGACGTCGTATCAAACAAGCCTCATGTCTAGGTTGAATCCACCTGATTCTTGCAGGTTGAATCGTAGAATTGTTATTCTTCGGTCTGTACATATAGTGACAACCCAAAGACAACAATATAATGTACTAGACATGCCCAATCAAGTGATGGGATTGGTCTCGGATTCCTACCAAATGCCAAATGTGATGGCTGGAACCATTTCTGCCAATCATCTCATCAGTTCTTAATAGTTCTTATGTGCGGGATTTCCAACTACTATGGCTCGACAAGTGCAAAAATATGCTTGCAATATGCTTGCAACCTCTTAGATACTCTTAGATACTCTTAGGCTACAAGCTGGTGACCTCAATATAGTTAAGTTCATTGGACTTTTGCTATATATATATGTATATATATAACTATATATATATAACTATAAATATATATATATATATGTATACATAAAACTAGTGTGTGGCTTATAAATTCTTATAAACCAACGTTACAACAACGTTTGGGGAAACACATATGGATCACTGCATGGACCATCCGTGGACCATCTTTTTGGGGTGACCCGGTGAGCGAAGTTATGGCTGGAAAGAGCTTACGAAAACCCAAAGTTGTTCTATGGGAATATTAGGTACCCCAAAATTATGGATGGTTAATACTAAACTAGACTTTCACATCTGTGGTCCCCTTAACGGTCTTCCATTTTGACCCACATCCATATACCCTCTGGTAATTTAACATAGCTATGGAAAATCACCATGCTATTAATGGGAAAAGTCACTATTTCAATGGCCATTTTCAATAGCAAACTGTTAGTTTACCAGAGGGTATGAGGAATTGTGGTTTTGGAAAGTCTAGGTGGATATCTTTTGGAAATTCTTTTTCAAATCTGTTCATAAAACCGTTCTATAAACTATGGGAAATCCAAAAAACCCTGGGAATAATAAACTAAAGGTTTTTATGAAGATAAATCTATGGGGAATTGTGGCTGAAAAACTTGCTTCACAAATATCGTATGTATATAACAGAATTCATAAGATATCCACCTAGAATCAATGAGAAATCACCAACCCAGATCGGGTTATTCCACCAAGCATGGGAATATACACCTTGGGTTTAGTGCATCAGAACACCGAAGAGGTTCTTCCATGACTGGGGACGGTTTTTCAACCCTAAAAATGCTACTTGGGGGTGGTTTTGTTGTTGGCTTTACCATGGTTTATGAATGGAGATTTAAACATACACAATTTGTGTATGTTTAAATCCCCGTTCATAAACCATGGTAAATTGAGATGGCCATTCCTGGTTTATTTACACAATTTACCCTCTGGTAATTTAATATAGCTATTGAAAATGGCCCAGTCGAAATAGTTGATTTGCCCATTAAAAATTGCCATGTTCAATAGCTATTTTGACATAACCAGAGGGTATATCCCCTTAATATCCCATTGAATCACTATTCAATCCCAGTACCTCACTATAAATCCCAGTCAATCACTATAAATCCCATTAAATCACTATAAAAATCATTGAATTAAATCACTATAAATTACCAAAGGGTATCATGAAGTGAGCCCAGGAATACTTTGCCCAATCTAAAGAGTGGTGCCATGACTCAATTGACTCAGTTTGACTCGGCACCAGGCTGCCGGCGAGTCAGTCCAGCAGCTTTTGTCACAAAAAAAACAACCTGTTGATCATATAATGATCACTATATCTATGGATTTAATATCTATATAGTGATTAGATGTGATTAGATCTATGACATTCATTGACATTCTATGTTGGTACAAGATTCATCATGAATATTCACCTGAAATTAGAATATGTTGGCAATTTCATTTTGCTATATGTTGCTATATGTTGCTATATGTTGCTATATGTTGGTCCCATATTCACCATGAAATCCACAATTTTCACCCCGATTTTTGTTGGGGAAAACGTCCACCTGAGAAATCCGACAAAAAGCCTCTCCTGCGCAGTGCACGAGTTGCTGAGAAACCGGAACCGATCGCCACCTGCCAAGGGGTGGCAAACGCAAGAAAACTGTTTTTTTTCTATGGGTAATCTATGGGAAATCTAGACCTGATTTTAGTACGGATCGAAATTCTGTGGTTGCCATAGATTAACCATAGATTACCCATAGATTACCCATAGATTACCCATAGACTACCCATCATTTTGGTAGGACGAAAATTTGCCATTTTTGCAGGCATGAATCATCGAGGAAACTGGCGTGAAGTCAACAAGAATGTTTCAACCAAAAAATGAACCGCACCAACATATTCTGGTTGGTGGTTTCAACCCACCCCTCTGAAAAATGATGGAGTTCGTCAGTTGGGATGATGACATTCCCAACTGAATGGAAAAATAAAAAATGTTCCAAACCACCAATCAGATATTGTTGTAACATACCATCTGGTTATTTAACATAGCCATGGAAAATCACCATTTTATAGCTAGGTAAACCATCTATAAATTGGGCAATTTTCCATGGCTATGTTAAATAACCAGAGGGTAATATTTCTATGTTTTAATAGCCGCCATTGCGATCACTCATATTGTCCATCTTCGTAAGGCAAACTGAATGATCAACCTTGCAGATAGCAAAACTTCCCCATCCGCCATAGATAGCGGAACACACGAACCTATGACTTATTGGTGCCTAGCAAGGACTGGATGGGACTGGGGGAATGGGATGATTATTGATAGTCTGGCTGGTGGTTTCAAACCCTCTGAAACATATTAGTCAATGGAAGGATTATCCCGTATATTATGGAAAATAAAAAATGTTCCAAACCACCAACCAGTAGTTATATTGTGGATCATTCCCTCATTCCCTGCGTTTGGCACCAGTAAGATGAAAACCTCTCCAACTCAACTGACGGCTTACGAAAGTTTCTGAGCTCTCCCAGATGCTCCATGGTGCTGGAATATTTACCTACAAAACTGGGTCATTTTTGGGGTTTTTATGTAGGTGGGCATATTCCAGCACCATGGTTCGCATATGGCTCTTGTGGATGGTTTCTGGTTAGTGGTTGACCTACCCCTCTGAAAAATGATGGAGTTCGTCAATGGGTTTCGGCTGACATCCCATATATGAAATGGAAAATCATGGCCATGTTCCAAAGCACCAACCAGATATATTGTTATTCCAAGTATTAACCATTATTAACCATAGATTAACCATAGATTAACCAGGAAATTTAATGTTCCAAACCACCAACCAGGTTTTGTACCATCCAAGTTTCAACCAACTCTGCCAGCCGTTGGTGGCAACAAAACATTCATCAGATTCGCCCCTTAAAATCTCTTCGTGCGAACCTTGGTGGTTACCTGGCCTGGGAGTGACGTTGTTTGCGAACTGGAAGCCATGGCCCAGTCGAAATAGCTGATTTACCCATGAAAATAGCATGGTGGATCTTTCCATAGATTTTTATAAACGTTTACCAGAGGGTATCCCATTAAGATCCCATTAAATCACTATAAAATCCCAGTAAATCACTAACAATCAGTGCTTGTTGGTGATTAAGATTTCCGAAAAACTTCTGTTGTTTCAATTGACCTTTCTTTAGATCACCTTATTTTGGCGGAAAAAATCACCTTTGAGTCACCAGCCCCAAAGTGCACACTGTGCAATCCCCACCCTGCATGGTTCCAAAACGATGATGTCATCCCCAAAAGATCCTGACTCGGGGGGTTCTTAGTCATTGACTGGGGGAAACAAAATACTTGCTTTGCACATCAGCATGTATCTGGGTAAATTACAATAATTCCCTAACCTGAAAGAAGGCGGAAATGGTGCCCCTTACTAACAATGATTCCAGTGAGGTCGCAGTGAGGTCGTTATAATTTACCCAGATGTATCCAACTCACAAAGCTGGACCACCTCTTCTTCTGCCAAACGTCTCCTCTCCTTGCTGAAAGAATGCATGGAAAAACGCCGCCTGGATCAGTTACTTGGCTTAAAAATTTGGGTTGATCGACCAGCAATTTATGGGAAGTTGATGGAAAAACGGGGACTATGAAATTTGGGGGTAGCCGAGTTGTCAGACAAACCCACTTGACACCAGGTTAAAGTATACTTGAAAGTCTATCCCAGGCATTGTAAGCGCGTCATAACATGTCATGGGTAGACACTGGAAAAAAACAACTTAAGAATCTGTACTTTGAGCATGTTTTGCGGCTGAAATCTCTTATTTGTACAAGATTTGTAGGAACTTAAATATGCAATTTGCATGGTTTTTACTCACCTATAGGGGTAGTAGTCACGTGACTGGGGTTAGTTGAATCCCCAACCAAGAGTTCATGGTTGGTATTTACCAATATGTACCATACAATGTTCCTATACACAAGGAAAACTGCAGATGTAGAGACATATGATATGATATGTATTGTATACAATATATAATATACAATATATAATATATAATATAGTTCAGTACAGTATTATCTAAGACAATATAGAGAACGCAAAACCCAAAAAATGTCACCGGTCTGTTTTGAAACCTGTCCAGCAACCGCACCTGCAGCATCAGTTGTGTTAACCAAGCCGCCCCAAATGGGCGAGCCAACCGCCATTTGGATAACAAACCATCAATGGTTCCTTTATTGCAAATCAAGCCAACAAGAATCTCCTTGGAGATCTGAAATTGCTGATCATCAACAAACTTCTGAAAGGTCTAAATATTGAAATCATTAGCAAGTCAGACTAATCATCTTTTACTTAAGTTGCTACTCCGCCACAAATTCAACTCACCCACTGCACTTGGGAGCCACTTGAAAGATCATCGCTCGAATCGGCGTGCGAACAAAAAAAAACTGATAAGTCCCCAATTCCTAGGCTTATCCCGTTCAAATTTACGTGGGTTATCACCCCACTAACCGCTTACGATGGATCCACCAAGCAACCCATGGAAAGCCCCGTTTTTCCATCTCCTCCTCTTTGCGTTCTTCCTCTTCTGCCCTTTGCTTGGCCTCACATTTTACTCAATGGAGCTTCAATTCATGGTCAATTCATGGTCAATTCATGCAAAAAGATGGGAAAATCCTCTTGAAATGGAGATTTACATGGGACAATCATCTACAAATGGGGGGGAAAATCCAGCAGACCATATTTGCTATATTTGCTCACCGGAGGGTACAAAAAAATGCGCACCCCTTTTTAAAAGGGATATGATGTGCACCCCAGCAATCCTTGGGGTATCTCCATAACACCGCGGGGTCACCCCCGGGTTACCACTGACCAGCTGGGATGCCGCATGGCGAAACAGCATCTTTCGCCTTATTTGAATCATTGGGCTATGCAGTGATGCGTGTGTCAAAATACGGGAATATGATTGTTCATTCTGTGTCAGAAAAAAACATCTATATAGAATCTATAGTCCATAGTTTCAATTGTCAGGTTGAATTACCAAATGAAAGGCGCAACGGATCTGTGATCTACATCCGTCCTCCTCCGCTTCCTTTTGTCGCTTTGCTTCTGCTTTCAAACGCTCCTAACAACTCCCAGACCAGCTCCAGACGGCCCCAGTTTCATCGGAAGCATATTCCGAGCGAAACCTCCATTTATAGAGGATGTTTCCATGGTTTCCTATGAACTTCCCAATTCAACCTCCATTCATAGAGGACAGATCTCCCATATTTTCCCATAAATTTCCCATTCAAACTTCACATTTATATGATTTTGCCATGTTTCCCATGAATTTCCCATGCAAATCTCCAACGTGATCGTTGGTTTTCCAGCTGACCATGTTTGATTGAAGGCTATTGGCAATACGCTCTTGGATCGCAAGAACCTGTGGGTCCCAGCCAGCACTGACCAGCACCACACAGGAGTTGGTGGCCCAACTAAGGATTTATCTGAACATGTCTGGAAAAACTATGGAAAATCACCATGTTCAATGGGAAAGCTCACTCATTTCATGGCCATTTTCAATAGTTTACCCTCTGGTTATGACTAACATAGCCATGGTATAGATGGCCCATAGAAATAGATGGTTTACCTAGCTATAAAATGGTGTATCTTTCCATGGCAATCTATTAAATAACCAGATGGTATCTGAAAATGTCCAGTTTGTGTACAAATCACCACCGAACATCAACATGGTTTGCATTTGGCCTCAGCATCAGGACTAAGAATGTGTGATTTTCATGGGGGGTCAAGCCCATCATCATGAAAGGAATTCCCATCCGAATTGGGTTAATCTAGATCCTCATTCCCGTCCATTTCAGGCTGTGTCAGCATGTTTCATCCATCGTTTGATCATGGCACAAGGTGGTGCCCCTCTAGTTGTAAATTGGTTTATAAACCCCATTAACTATAGATATATCACCTATAAACCATAGTTATTGGAATTATACCAACTTAGCTATCTTGGGGGCACCACCTTGCAAATGTGTTTTTTAAGCAAAAAACAATCTGTTATATTGGATTGTCCTTGGGAGAACGACACAAGCCGCTAATCGCCTTTCGGAAAGGACTCGCAGTTACACTTACAAGTTGGTGTATGTTTACACATAACTAGAAATCACAAATCCCTAATGTGGTTAAAACAATGTCATAAACCATCCCCCAGTCATCACCATTTTTATAGGTGGTATGTTTACCATTTCGCAGTCATGGGTAGTTTATCATTGTTTTAACCACATTATTCCCAAATTCTGTTGGTTTGAATCCCATGTTCTTATCAAAGTCTGGGCGTTTATAACCCTTCAAACCACCACTGGTTGGTGGTTAAAAAACAATCTTGAAAAATGTGAGTTCGTCAATGGGAAGGATTATCCCATATATTATGGAAAATAAAAACATATAAAAACCATGTTTGAAACCACCAACCAGACCATTTCTTCGTCAAAATCCGTCCTCTTCGGCTCGCTCGAAGGCACGACCTGAAAGCTCTCAGCTCCCCGCTCCCCATTTCGAAGACAGATACCATATAGGCCCTAGCTGGGAAAAAACACCTCCCTCCTTACTGGATCTGGTTGGTGGTTGAGCTCTACCCCTCTGAAAAATGATGGACTTCGTCAGTTGGGATGATCGACATTCCCAACTGAATGGACAAATAATCCAAATGGTCCAAACCACCAACCAGATATATTGTTATTCCAATTATTAACCATTATTAACCATAGATTAACCATAGATTAACCATAGATTAACCATAGATTAACCAGGAAAATTCCATGGTTCCAGTCACCACCAACCAAGGATGTAGATGTTCATGAGTTCTTCGGTAGATTGGGCGGACTGAGGTCCACGAACTCCTGCTGCATCTTCTCGAGCCTTTTCTGAATGAACGCATTATTTTCGCGTTTCCGTTTTGTCATGGGGGAACCCCCAGTTCTCATCCATTTGATTTTTGGATCTTCCATGAAATACACCATCAAGCTCTTGGGGTACCTCCATGACTTAGGAAAACCCTATCTGGTTGGGACCAAATTTACCATAACAAAGGATTAAGTTCGACGAACGTTCGTATCACTGGAATAATGAACCATTTTCTCAATCTATAGGTTATCACTAAAGTATCATTAAAATCAAATCACAATCATAATCACAATGTAGTTATCTGGGATTAAATGGGATGAATCATAATCACCTTTAGTTATCATTAAAGTAGCATTTGCCCTCTGGTAAACATACAAAAAGCTATTGAAAATGGCCATAGAAATAGTTGAATTGCCCATTGATAGCATGGTGATTTTCCAGAGTTTTTTGTATGTTTACCAGAGGATATATCCCAACAAGATCCCATTAAATCACTATAAAATCCCCGTAAATCACTATAAATCACTATCAATTTCCATGAAATCGTACTATAAAGTCCCATTAAATCACTATAAAATCCCATTAAATCACTATAACGTAGCGAGTTGTCGCGCCAGGTGACGTTGTTCCTCCAAGCGCCGCAGTTCTTCCTGCCGAGATCGCCTCAGAGCAGCAGCCAGTAGGAATCTTGGCTGGGATCGAAATGGACAATCCATAGGAAGCCCATAGAAAAGCCATAGAAATCCCATAGAAATCCATAGAAAAGCCATAGAAAGCACATAGAAAAGGTCCGAGAGGAAATGAGGCAGGAATTCGGAAGGGAATAGTATGTCGAATTCGGAAGCAAACTGCGGAAAGAAAAAGGTGTTGGCATGGTTTTGCATGATTTTGATTGGTACAAACCCAGGTTTTCTAGGGATTCTACCAGTGTTGCGGGTAAACCAACGGTTTTCAAGTTGTACCTGAAAAATGCTCAGAGTTTGAAAGCAATCTCTTGATTCCGAAATCAGAAATAAGCTTACTGCGGGGAGGATTCCTCATCTACCAATCATTTACTGCGGGGCTGTCGTGGTTCACCCGACCATATGTGATATATATATATATACATATTATATATATACATATTATATATATATACATATTATATATATACATATTATATATACATACATCTATAGATTATATAGATATATATTGACATTGATACTGCATTAAGTGCCAGCTGCTTCAACACATAAATCATGCATGCATGTGTTCATTTGATTCTACCAGGAATTGGGTTTTCCAACAACTCCGCCATAGCTATCTTTCAATGAAGAAACCAAAGTTACCCTAGGAAAACCATAGGAAAACCATAGGAAAACCATAGGAAAATGGAGGTTTACCCTCTGGTAAACTAACATAACTATGGAAAATCACAATTTTTAATGGGCAAATCAACTATAAATGGTCATTTTCAATAGCAAACTGTTAGTTTACCAGAGGGTAAGTTGTTGTGCTGGAGTTGAGTTTCCGACGCTCTTTCCGCTTCTTTCCTTTTCTGCTCCTCTTGCTGTCGCCTACCACAGTTTGGTCAGCACACCAAGCGCAGCAAGAAGGGCCCGGAAATTCATAGCTTTCAGTTGGTTGAACTACAGTAACATCAGTAACTTGGCTGACCATTGGAAATTCCAATATCAAAAGGCTTCAATTCAATATATATATATGTAATATAATATATGTATATATATATAATGTATATATATATAATAATATATATATAATAATATATATATAATAATATATATATATAATAATATATATATATAATAATATATATATATATATAATAATATATATATATATAATAATATATATATATAATAATATATATATAATAATAATATATATATGTATATATATATATCATATATATATATATCATATATATATATCATATATATATATATCATATATATATCATATAACATTAACATTATCTTGGCTGCCGTTGTATTTGAATTGGTTTCTGTTGCTGGGGATAAAAATATGTGCGGATCGGTGTTTACGCACACGTCTACCAATGGGTCTCTCTGAAAATGGGGTACACCCTTCTAGATGGCCACTGACCCTCTGGTAAACTGACAGTTTGCTATTGAAAATGGCCATAGAAATAGTGTTTTTTCCCATTAAAAATTGTGATTTTCCATAGCTATGTTAGTTTACCAGAGGGTAATAGGGAAAATGATCATGGACCAAGGGACTTAGAGGTACCATGTTCTCAGACAAACCCATATAAATCCCAGAGCTACTTCATGTTCAGACATACCCACATGAGAGTTTCCTAAGTCATAGGGGTACCCCCAGTCATCATCCATTTTTAGATGGATTTTCCCTTATAAACCATCCATTTTGGGTATCCCCATGTATGGAAACCCACATCTTTGTCCAGCACATCAGAAACATGTTATTGTCAACCAACTTCATCATGACAGCCCACATTGTTTCCTGCCACCCATGATAGCACACATGCTTTGAACCGTATTGATGCAGCAAATTTAAATAACCACTTATCGGTGGTACACCTCATGTGCCGCTTAAATATCTCAGGTGTTCTTCTTTTGACCATATTCAATTCATTTTTTGGTGTTTAAATACCCAGTATTACCAGTATCATTGCCAATCTTGGGCACCAAAAACTTTTTCTGGCTGGTTGGAATATATTCCCACTTACGGCCAAAAAACAACAGGTCAAAACTGGGCCAACTGTTTCCTCTTTCCATGGCCAATGTTGGATACCCTGCAAAAACATACAATCGTTGATTGTTCTCAAATATACGTTGTGAATCTGTGGTAGTCTACAAAAAAGAAAATGCTGGTTACGGCTATGTTCCATGTATATATATATATCTTATATATATATACCAAAAAAAACTCAAGATTAATTTCTACCCATCCAGTCCGTAGGGGATGTATATGTCCCCAATGATAGCAGAGAAGTCAAGTACAAGCAAAATGATCAAACATTCCCCCAAAACCATCTCATGGAATGGGTTGAAAGCGGTTTCTGGAAGGATCCTATGGGCTGGTTTCCCAAATAGCCTGGCATAACTCCACCAATCAGCCAGTGCAGCCAGTGCAGCCAGTGCAGCCAGTGCAGCCAGTGCAGCCAGTGCAGCCAGTGCAGCCAGTGACCCAATGATTCCAGTCGCCTCTCTGCTTCCAATCTGCGACTCTCATCTTCGAGCCTCTTTCGCCGCTCCTGCAGCGCAAAAACCCGGTGCAAAGACGCCACAAATCGTGGTGAGAATTCAGGTGTCCGAGAATGCTGGATACCCTCTGGTAATCAAACATGGCAATGGGGAAATCCTCTACAAATGGAGCTGTAAAGCTGGGAAAATCATCCATACCCTCTGGTAAACGTTTACATAACTATCGAAAAATTGGCCCATATTCATAGTTGATCTACCTATGAGAAACATGGTGATGTTCCATAATTATGTAAACGTTTACCAGAGGGTATATCCCATTATTAACCATTATTAACATTTATTAACCATTATTAACATTTATTAACCATTATTAACCACAATTATTAACCATTATTAACATTTATTAACCATTATTAACCACAATTATTAACCATAACTGGTTGGTGGTTTCAACCATAACATCTATAAATGGGGATCTTCAATTGCCACCTTTGATGATCCCGACGGGGGTTCTATGGAAAAACCTTTGCTGGTCGATCCCATGAATAACCACCCGGGCGTTGATCCATGTGCGTCGCTGAAAAACACATCTCTTGCTGGTTTTACCCTCTGGTAAACATACAAAAAACTATGGAAAATCACCATTTTTAATGGGAAAACTCACTATTTCAATGGCCATTTTCACTAGCTATGTTAGTTTACCAGAGGGTAACCTCGCTGAAAAATATGTTCTTCATTGAAGATCATCACCAACAAGATGCGTGGCTCCGAAGTCAGAAACCTTTCGTGGACTTAGTACGGACTTAGCAGTTTTGAGTTTACCCATGAATAATCCCAACTGCACCCACAACCCCTAACTCAACTAGTTATAGACGATTACAGTATCCTATATTTTCTGATAAACACTGCCATCATTATCCCACATTTCACTCCACATATTTGAAAAATCCCATTCGGGTTAGTGATTTTTTTTTCCCAATCCCCGTGTTTTTAAACAGCCTGCGCCTTCCCCTGAATTGTGATCATCAACCCGACGGGGTTTCACTGCTCACTAAATCGGATTGTAAGAAAGGATTGAGAACGGGCGGATAGGGGGATTAAAAATTCTGGGATCATCTTTTGGATTACGGATAACTCATGATAACTCTAATTGAGCCATTAAAAATGCCCCGTTTTCCCATCTCATGAAATACGTTTGTTGCTTGAAAACGGTTTCCCAATACTATGGGTTATCATAATCCCCAGTAAACCAGGTAGTTTTGGGCATCCCCCAGAAAGCAATCAATTCACCAGGCTATTCTGTTCATGGCTCAATTTTTATCAACCTCCATTTTTCTTCATAAATGGAAAGTCATAAAATTCCATGGTTCCAGTCACCACCAACCAGCAATGGTTGCTTATAACATTTCTATATATATATAATGTCAACCCTGGATTAATAAACCCCTGGGCTATTGAATTGGAAGGGTACCATTTAAGTATTAGATTATGACTATTGGAGGAATACCCCCCTAATTAATAAACCATGGTTTATTCATCCGGGGTTGACATTATCCCATTAGTAAACCATGAATATTCCATTAACCATAGTATAAACCATTAATATTCCATTATACCATTAGTATACCATTAGTAAACCATGGAAAAATAATAGTCATGTTCCAAACCACCAACCAGTAATGGTTGCATATGATATTTCTATATATAAAACTTACTGATTCATCTGGATCGGTGGATTTTTATTGAAATACTCCCATTACACCCGGGTTGACATTACCTACCTTGTGCCCAGTTTTTGCAGGCAGGTCATGTCAGCAGAAAATATTCAGCAGTCCTCAGCCTCTCTCAGGCGCTGTTCTTCCAAGCGACTTGCCTCCTGACGCGGTGATGGGATCAATCTGTGGAGCGCGGGGCCTATGGTTTAAGAATAGTTCTTGTTTGAGAATAGAAATTAGATGAAGGTTGCTTTCTATTATAGTTAATAGTTGGTTATAGTATGTTATGGTCATGAATCATGTATCATGTAAATCATGTCATGTTTTATTTATTGTTTTATTTTACGGGAACAATGACATGATTGATAACAATGATTAATGATGGGAAAAACCAGTGAGGCCCCCAGCGAAGTGTGCAAAAAAAAAAGACACATCGCGATGTCGTAAACACGGGGGCTTCCCGAATGACGTTGCTTGATACCCTCTAAGTCTAAGTGTACAAAATGATGCGGAAAACCTATGGTTCCCAAGAATCGGGGACTTACTAACCATGGTTATATAAGTTATATATGGTTATTAAACACTATCTGGAGCTTTCCCAAGTCATGAGGGTCAGCTATTGGGGTAGCACCATGGAAACCTCAAGGACTCCACAGGCTGCTTCAACCCCTGGAAAGCGCCAGACTGGGTGGATTTTTTTTTGGATTTGCTGAAGTTAATTAAGGAACCCTCCAGAAAAAATGCCCATAAAAATGTGATTCCCCAATGTTGATGTCTTAAATTGGATCCTAATTGGCTCAGATCATCACTGGTTGGTGGTTTCAACCCCTTCTGAAAAATATGTCAAATGGGATTATTGTTCCCAATATATGGAAAAATAAAAGCCATGTTCCAAACCACCAACCAGATCAATGTATCTTCTTAGAATATATATAGTCATCCATTGGCTCCTCCTCTGCACGCCGCAATTCCTCGTCCAACCTGCACCCGGATCTAAAGATCAGAAGGTGGTGTTTTTTGAAGGGGATGAAAATCATTGGTGAATGGAATATGAATGGATTGGGAATATGAAGGGGAACATGAAGGGGAATATGAAGGGGAATATGAAGGGGAATATGAAGGGGAATATGAAGGGGAATATGAAGGGGAATATGAAGGGGAATATGAAGGGGAATATGAAGGGGAATATGAAGGGGAATATGAAGGGGAATATGAAGGGGAATATGAAGGGGAATATGAAGGGGAATATGAAGGGGAATTGCATGGATTTACCCCAAAAGCTATGAAAAAAACTATAGAAACATGGTCCAACTATGGATGATTTACCGATATTTACCTATTAAAACTGATGATTTTCCATAGCTAGTACATATATATATATATATGTATACAATTATATACACACATATAATCATTTCCTAGTAGATAAACGATAAGTTTTTCAAACATATTCCTATTTGTTTAATGATTTGTTGAAATGTCCATATTCCACCTACTCCAGGATGACCATATATACACCCTATGGATCCAGCCGTACCTTCTATTCGGAAGTGTTTGGGGTATAATTCAGGACTTCAGTCATGCCTTCTAAGGAGGCAGTTGGATCCATATATGCAATTGAGGTTTCTCACCAACAAAAATGTTGAGTGGGATATAGTCGGGGTAAAATATGTATATGTGTATGTGTATATATATATATATTGTGCATATAGAAGGTGGTGCACCAGAGAACTAGCTACGTTGCTTCATTGTGTTTGTGTTTTACTGGGTTTAGAAGCTTGGGTATGTGTAGCAAACCTATCCAATGCGATAAAAAATGATAATCCATATAAGATGGTTGACAACCACAATTGACTAATATACTAATATAGCTATAACTTATAACCACTAGTTCATGGTGAGGGTTTATTAATCCCGGGTTGACGTTGAGTTGGTTTGTACCTACACAGTAGTGCTACATCTCATTAGCTAAGTTGGTTTAGATGCTAGCTTAACTAGGTTTAATGGCGACAAACCAACTGGGCAACTTAGCTAACGAACTGGGGCACTATCTTGTATTGGTTTGTATAGGATATAAAACCAACCAATCAATCGTTTTATGGCACACAATAATCCGATATCACATGGGATATACAATCACATATCGTTATATATCGTTGATATACAATCATCTTAAATATTGATGGGTATTCTATGGGAAAATCGCCTATAAATTAGGATATGTCATGGGTGTAATATCCCTGCAACAGCAATGGATGGAAAATGATGATTGGTCATCAGGGCTACTCTGTAGACAACCTCTTCGGGCTGGATTTATACCAAAACCAGTTGATTTCTTGCGGTAGTTTGACTTGAAAAAGTGCAGATTTGGATGTCACCTCAATGCGGGCAGGATTCTGAGAGACCCAGGTACAAAAAAGCAACAGAATGGATGTATAATGATGTAGGTCCACACTGTTGGGTTGGATCGAGGGCCACGAAAGTCATTGAAAGTCAACCCGGAGCATCATCATCCTCATCATCATTGGTAATTGTTAAGAATTGCTAAAAAATAGTAGTTTTTCTAATGGTTGCAGATGATATTTCTATGTACTGGTTGGTGGTATACCTACCCCTCTGAAAAATATTAGTCAGTTGGGATTATTATTCCCAACTGAATTGAAAGTCATAAAATCCCATGGTTCCAAGCCACCAACCAGTAATGGTTGCATATGATATTTCTATATATATATAATGTCAACCCTGGATTAATAAACCCCTAGGCTGTTTAATTGGGAGGGTACCATTGAAGTATGAGATAATGACTATTGGAGGAATACCCCCCTAATTAATAAACCATGGTTTATTCATCCGGGGTTGACATTATACCATTAGTAAACCATGAATATTCCATTAACCATAGTATAAACCATTAATATTCCATTATACCATTAGTATACCATTAGTAAACCATGAAAAAATCATAGTCATGTTCCAAACCACCAACCAGTAATGGTTGCATATGATATTTCTATATATAAAACTTACTGATTCATTTGGATCGGTGGATTTTTATTGAAATACTCCCATTACACCCCGTGAAGTCGCTAGATCGTCCAGTCGCCGACCCATTGATCCAAGTCTTAAAACGTGGTTTTCGTTGAGAGCATTTACTACAATTGGTGATATTCCCATGATGTTCCTATTATATTCTCATTGTTCTACCCTCTGCTAAACTAACATAACTATGGAAAACCACCATTTTTCATGGGAAAACTCACTATAAATGGTGATTTTCCATAGTCATGTTAAATTACCAGACGGTATATTGTTTTCCCATGATATCTGGCCGAATTATAATTCACTAATCTAGAAATAGCTGAAACTTGCGGCGGGGATGGTTCCCCTCTCCAGTGGCGTCATTCCCATCAAATCATCCTCATCACAAGGTGAGCAGCCCCAGTGATGTGAAGGTTTCGATTTACCCATTTATAGTGAGTTTTCCCATGAAAAATGGTGATTTTCCATTGTTATGTTAGTTTACCAGAGGGTATCCAATGTGTGTACTCTACTGGTTTGTTCTATACCTCATTCATTTGTCAACAAATTCAAGTTCACGAGACCAAATGCCAGTGGCGAAGACCAAAAGCCTGTGGCGAAGACCAAAATGCCTGGTATGAGGTCATTTACAGCCTTTAGAAAGGTCACTTCCAACCCCCGAAATGGTTAGGCCGATAGCCTTGACTGTGCCAAGCGCTGCTTTGCTGATTCTCTTTCCGGCGTTGCTGGCGTTGAAGCCGGCGTCGCGCCTGCTCTTCGTCTTTGTGGCCAACTCAGTGTAGCGATTTTGTGGCCACGGGGCCATGATTTAGTTCGATGATTTTCCCAACGAAACCTCCGAAAGCTATCGAGGATTTCCCATGTTATGCCAGGATTTGGATTTGCTTAAGGACCCACAACAAAAACATATATTCCCATCTTTGATTCAAGTTTATAGTGATTTTCCCAGTTCAATAGTGGTTTTCCATGATTTTCTCATAATGATTCTCATTTTGCCATAAGGCAATTCTATGACTATGACATCAAGAAAAAAAATCACCAGGATTCGCCTTCGTTCTTCCTCTGCAACACGGCGTCGTTCTTCCTGCTGCGGCCGAGACGAGTCAGGGGCGGGTATACTACTAGTCTACTATGTGACTATGTATATATATATATACTATATATATATAGATATATTATATTATATCATATTATATTAATTTATCTATTTATATATATATATATATTATACATATATTTACTTATTTATTTATTTATTATATAATATAAATAAATATTATATATATATTACAGATCATATATTACAAATATGTTTTTACATATTATATAACATGTATTAAATTATATATATATTTAAAATATATGTTATATTATATATAACATGTATTACATTATATATTACATATATAAATACATATATATATATTATATTACATGTATATAAATATATTATTTTATATATTACCTTTATATGTATTATATTAAAAATATATATATATAATTATTATAATACATATATAGGTAATAAATAAAAAAAAAATATATATGGTACAAAATATATTGTATACATATAATATCAAATATATATATATAATATGTATATATAAAATAAAATATATTTATATAATAATCAATATATAAATATTTGAAAATAAAATATTTATATATATGTATATATATATATATTAAAAGTATACGCGCTATTTGAGATGCGCGCTCGGCCGCATAAGTATTTCAACCCCCCATGCTGGCTCCACGTCAACCTAAATGATATTCTTAAGACTGCTCAACCTTTAAAATATGAAATAGCAGCTCAACATTGTTTGAAATTAATATAAATTACACTTAAGACATAGTCAACCTTTTCCATATGGCATGCTAGCTCAACATTATCATAAGATATACTTAAGACACAGTCAAGTATTTCAACCTGATATGCTGGCTCAACGTCAACGTAAATGATACTCTTAAGACTGCTCAACCTTTACAATATGACATACTAGCTCAACATTAGTATGAATTATACTTAAGACATAGTCTGAAAGGAAGAAGAACTAAGAGGTCCTAGTCCTAGGACCTCCTTGGAACCAAGAACCAAGAACCAAGATTCCCCCAAAACTTTTTGTGCAATCTTGGTTCTTGGTTCTTGGTTCCAGTGCGGTCCTAGGACCTCCTAAGACCTCTTGATGCCAGAACCATCATGTCTCACAAGTTTGTCTACATCCACGGTTATATATCTATATATATATATATGGT